AGTTTGAGAAAACCTACGATGCAGAATAACAGAGCGTTTGCTGCGAGTGTAGAAGAGTCGAAATATCCAAATCCACCGTAAGAGGTCAGACCTGGTCTCCACGAGATAATTCCCGTATCTTTTCCATTTTTTCATTTACTTACTTAAAAGATACAGCTCGTTCCAATTAGCAAGTTCTGACGTCTTTAAGAACATAGGTCATCTGCGGGATACGTAAATTATAGCTTCTGTTTTTAAACGAACGAATCCTGTGATATAAAAATGGTTTTTAATTATACTGTTAATGTAACTCATATCACAAAGAAGGTTTTGCACTTGACGTTATTTTAATGTGAGCAGGATTGTGAGAACTCTGAAAGTCTCGTTTGTCCCCATTAACGGGACTTTAATTTCCATATTTTTTTCTCTTTTTTTGCAAGATCAGATCCAAACCCTAGTCATTGTATCAAGTGCTTTGTTTACCTGTACCATTGTTGTCAATTACATGGAGTAGGAATAACGCGCAAAGGGTATAAGGCTATTTTTCATATGTCTACAATCCGCTGGATAATTGTTTGACATGTTTTCTAAACGAACTTTCAAAACTTCAAATAACACAGTTTTTTTACCACGCTATTGTTATCTCAGTAGATGATCGGACACGGATAGCTTAGAAAATTTCATCATTTATTATTGGGAAATCTAAAGAACTAGAAAAACATAATTCAATGAAAGCCGGAACTACTCAAACTCATATTTGTACTATAATAATATACATGAAAAAATTACTCAGTTCTGATTGGTGAAGATAAATGCAGTTTCCAGGTAGTTCGGTGCAGAAGAGAGTTAATTCAGTGCAGAAAGGGTTAATTCAGTGCAAAGTAAGTAACAAATCAGACATTCTGATTTGTCAATGATCAAAGAAACTCACAGATAGCCAATCAAATGCGAGCCTTGGATGTTGCAACAAAATTGGAAAATTTGAAATTTGCGAGCGAAACAATGGCCGGCGTGTTATGTAGGCTTTCTTTGCCCACCGCAGCTGAAAAATAGCTCAAACAACGAAAACACTGTAAAAAGCACTGCTTTTTGGTTATTGGTTAGGAAAAAGAGGTGTTTAGAGAAGGGAATTGCCAAGGAAATCGAAAATTACGAGCCGACCCAGTTTAACACTTTGCTCGAGTGATCCAACGCCGAAATTAAAAACAAACAAGGTTAAACCTCGGAAACGACGATTCCATTTCATCGAAAGTGATTCGGACACAGACTGAACAATTCCTTGAACTGTTTAGCCGGACTTTGAACCTTTTTTGCGCCTTAAAGATGTGAAGATATCATGACATATTATCGTTTTGATCGTACGCGGCTGTTTTGACCAAATGCACGGTTTGAATAAATTTTTTTTCCACTTGATGCGCGTGCTTTCTCGTATTTTTCCATGTATATTATAAACACGTACAGTACTGTGCAAAAGTAATGCAAACTAATATCGTCGTTTATCGCGATAATCGCGAGATATCGGCGATATCTAAGCGATATTTCCGTTGGAACGATATATCGCGGGGCCATTGTTCTAACAACCGCGAGATATTGCCGAAATATCGTTGAGCCCCTCACGAATTATCGTTTTCCCTGAGCAATATATCGTTTGAGCTCAGCGATATATCGTTTGAACTCAGCGATAAATCGTTTTTCCTAAACGATATATCGTTTAAATTCAGCGATATATCGTTTGAGCTCAGCGATATATCACTGCCGCCTAACGATATCTCGTTTAAACTAAGCGACATATCGTTGCAGCTTAGCGATATATTGTTTGCGTCGGTAAGATATCGCCATGGCTAAGTGCGAGATCGGTGAGGCAACATTGCGACGTTCGGCGAATTTTTCATCAGACTGATACTGTCTGAGTGAGTAGGAAAGTAAACCTAGTGTATCATTCTATTCGAAGTCTGTCAGCGTCAAAAGGGCAGTATAATGAATTTGAGCCAACTTCGCTACATACAGAGTCGGCTATGGTCGAAGTTTGCCACACGTTCGCTGCGTATTAGTTAAGCAAGTACGCTACCACACAAAATAAAACAAATTATTAGAAAGACTATATTTATTTTGATACTAGCGAACAAACAAGAATAGCGAGAGCGAAAAAAAGGCAGCTTGTGAAAACGGTATCCAGGAAGGGTGCAAAGCTTACCTTTTTTAACACGTTGCGATGCGTCATTCCCTGACAAAGGGCTAACGCTCCAAACGTTTTTTTTTTTCCTTTTACGGCGGTCAATTTACGTTATCAACTCAGTTCATAATACTAAATTATCAACTTAAAAAGTATGCTGATTATTAAATGAAGAGACGATCTTGTAAAGTTCTACACCCGATGAGTACCACAAAATCTGCCTACATATATTCAGCGAAATGATACGATTGAAAATGGCTCAAAATACAAATGGCTCAGCTTTACTAAACACTAAATTGAGACAAAGATGATTTTACATGCTTTCACCGTGAAAGTTGCCTTTATGTTCTTTTATTTTACGCTTACAAAAACTTAAGCGTTTCGTCTGAATAAAAAAATCACACTTATTCACCTCTGCAAGATACTCTTCCAGGAATATAACCTACCTAGCGACGCAAGAACACCCTTTAACAAAAATGAAGATTAGAGGCATATGCCAATTAGCCATAGTCGGTTTCCATTGCTAGCATTGTTAGCAAGGTCACAATGCGTTATGAGTTGAGACCATTTTAGGCAAAAGTGAAACTGCCCTGTCAATTTTTAAAGCTGGTTTAGATGGGGCCTGTATAAACAATAGCAAGGCCGGACCGCTGGTTGTTTTATTTTTATTTTATTTTATTTTATTTCGTTTATTTATTTATTTTTTGATTACTTAGAAAGATCGTTTAAACTGTAAGTGTGATACACTGCTTTTGGTAAGTTATTGACAGGGCGTTTCCCAGAGAAGATTCGTACGAAAAATGATTGGTCGACCCGGAATATTTCTTTCCAACGTTCTTCCTAACTGCACCCACCCATTAAACCATGAATATACTGAGGTGATATATATTTCTTACGCTCTTCCAGTTTATTTGCTGGCTGCAAAATCACTCGCCTAAGGAACGGAGACTTTTACTCTCTGTCATCTCTTATCTACATGTAAGTCGGAAGACTTTGCTTTGAGTGTTTTAAAGTTTTAACAGCCATCGAAAAGATTCATCTTTGTATGATAGGCATCACAAAGTGCCCTCATTAAAAAGTGCAACCGAATCACTCTTAATTATAACAAATATGAAGTATAACATTGGATGTAAGGATATAAAGGGATGTAAAGTACGCATCAACGATGTGCAAATTCAGCAATCTCTCTCTTTTGTTTCAGAGATTTAAGCCACAACAAAGTTTTTCAAATGGAATCTAGAGTATTTGAAGGTTTAACATCTCTGGAAACGTTGTAAGTTGCTCAGAACTAATTCTATAATCATAACTTGTGGAAATGCTAGACCGTGAAGAGTAGTATAGTCCCGTCATATCAGCTCTTCGAAGCTCATCCAAATTGGTGGCCAAGACTGAAGATCAAACTCCGAAATATAACTTACTACTCGGAAAACATGTATAAGCGACGGGAAAAAAAATTGTTAGTAATGCACAGTTCCATTTACCTAGAATGTAGTGTCAGCAATGGATACTGGGACCCCGATGATTTGCTAATGTCACGTGAGTTTTTTCGTTCGGACTTGTTCGGTGTAGTTGTAATCTAGGCTCCCCGTCCTTCCTACTTCCTACCAGAAGAGTCAACATTTAGGGAGTAGGCAATCGTTAAATTTTACATTTAGTGGACTTATGCCCGTGCGTTTAATACGTTTGTGATAAAATTTTTTGGAATGTTGATCATTCCTACTACATAAATATACCGCAGCCGTAGTACACTAGAAAAACCCCCCGGCACGGCTCTTATACAGAACCCTTTTCAATGGAATGGTACATGGAAGGTTTACAGACAAAAGCTAATCTTTTGAAACGTAGAGGACATAATTTGTTTGTAAAACAATTCTCTGGTTAAGCCCAAACGAACATGAATAACTTTTTCTTTTGCCTGCATCATAACATAGGAGACTCAACAATAATTTCTTGAGGCAACTTAACGATGACGTTTTTGGTGAAACAACTAAGCTTCAATACTTGTAAGTTTATAATGTTACAATGCTGAAACATAGCTTAATCATGGGAATGGAAAATAATGATAAGAAGTGTTATACAAGACAAAATACTCAGGCAACTCTATCGATTGATTTACATATTAACACAAGCATAAACTGACTGATGGTGATTCGCTCTCAATGTGGGATACAATTTTTAATGGTCAGTTAATCAAATACATCTTCGGCAGAAATACCTAAACTCTGGCCTATTGAAGAGAGTGCACCGTTAGATTAAAATTAAAAAAGCGGCTCTTTTTGTGTTTGGCAGAGATATTGGTGAAAACCTTCTTGTTGACCTTCATGAAGACATTTTCGACAATTTGACAGACTTGCGAATCTTGTGAGTGGTGTGAAAAATGTTTCTGGTTAAAATGAAATTAATCTCTTTTTTCCTCTTTGGGAAAATTTCTTTTTGCCTTATTTTCATTTTATTTTTTAGAAGCCTGCGATCTAACAGTATTCGTCAGATTAAGAGGGATGTGTTTAAACGCACAACACGCCTAACTCATTTGTAAGTAGAGCGATCCTCTCAACTTTCTCTCTCAACTTTTTTCCTATTTACCTGTACAGATTTAGTTAGCTACATCTTGAATAAAGTTTGTATATTGTATATCATGTAAGTATTCTCCAAGTTTTCGTATCTACTAAATGTTTAGTTACAAGAGGAATTGACATTACTAAAAGACGGAAACTTGGAGTTTAGCTGATTCCTGGTCGTTTGGAATTTGAAGGGCGGAGAACCGTAGAACCTGGAAAAAAGTCTTAGGAGCTAGGGCAGGAACCAAAAACTAGCCTGCGCGCTAGCCTGCGTGTAGACGTCTCCAATGATGGAGACAAGTGAGCTCTGCCTGCAGGGAGAAACCTCCATGTAAAACCAGGTTGGTTTATCGAGCCCGGTGCACAGCAGCGGGTGTCAAGCGCCATCATTTATAGTTTCGAAATCAGTAAGAACTTTTCAATATTCTCTTTTAGTAAAGAAATTTTATTTTGTGAACAGATCCTTTCTTGCCAAATGCAATATGTATAAGAGTTATGTGGTGAATTTTAGACGTTTGCCATGTGATGTGGATCACAACGTTTCGATTGCACACTGCCAGCCTTTTCGTCTAGAAAAAAAACGTGATATGCAGTATGCAGCCGACATGTTGTGATTCATTTTTGAAGTGAATTAATCGTAAGACTAACAATTTTACTTTATTGAGTGCCCTTGCCGCAATAACTAACCACAAGCTTTTTCATAAACCTATTATGACTGTTGCTTTTTGCTTTGCAGAAAAGACACACAACATAAATAAATAGCTGATAATTTCATGTTCATGTATTTCTTTCCCTTCCTCCAGGTATCTTGATCACAACAAAATAATTATAATTGAAGAGAAAGCGTTTGCGTCTCTCTCACAGCTAAGATACTTGTAAGTTTCTTTTTGCTGCCTGACAGAATTGGTAACCGTAGTTCATATTAGCAAATAGAACTTATATTTAGTAACGATATTACTGTCATCGCATGCTTCAATTGCTATTTCATTTGTTTTCTTTAATCTGCGTCAATCGATTTTTGCTTTCTTTGGGTTTTAGACATCTGCACAACAACGGATTGAAAAGACTCACCAAGGGCATGTTTACTGGCTTGGTATCACTCACAGCACTGTAAGTCCATTTTTTCTGGGGTTATGTGAGTGTAATTTGTGCTGTCTCTGTCGGTTAGATCGCATAAAATTAAATCAATGGCCTTTTGGTTTTGTTCGGTGATCTTGAATACCAGGGTCGTGCCTAAGCCAGACATTTTTTTGCCGACTTGATCCTACTTTTTCATAAAGTTAGGGTGTGAAGAGAGAGAATAGCATTTCTAGGCCTTTTGGAAATTTGAAAGCTGTGTTTTTTCGTCACTCCATGGGAGGAGTTTTACGTTTTCTCTGTAAAGAAAATGCTAAGACAACACAAGATTCATTAGAGGACTGGTTCCTAGCCGTGCAAGATAAACAAATAAATAACTTAAATTATAAACAAATAAGGGTCACTGATCTCCTCTTCTGCTGCCCGTTTTACAAAAGAGTAACTTTTCGGGTGTGGTGCAGGGATTTTGTCATGCATTACCAATAGTATCCAAAGGTCAAAGAAATAATCGTGCAATGGATTTTCAGGACGACACAAGTGGCATTATAGAGCTTAATAAACCTCCTGTTTAGGATTGAATATTTTAGAAATGTTTATGAAGTGGAACAACAACTAATTTCCTCCTTTAACTTTGATTTTGGAAATAGTCGTCTTCACGAAAACAGCATTCTTGAAAGTGAAATTGCGACGGACATCTTCGAAGGCCTGCTTAACCTGAGGATCTTGTAAGTGTTACGCATTCTGCATTACAGTTATTAAAATAATGCTTATTTGAAATATAAACCATCTTCATCTGTACTAAGGACATAAATCTTGCTACACTGAGCGAGAAACTTCAATTTACCTCCAACTGATATCTTGTCTTTTTTTGTGACTCTCCTACACTTTAAATCAACTGAAGGTGGATTTGAAATCTAAAACCGAACATAGTGACAATGCCGATCCTTTTTATAAACCATTCAGTTTTCCTTTCATAGATCACTGGACAGCTTCATTGTCTGCTGTTACGCTAAGAAAGCTGCAAAGGACTTGATATGTGATTCTCCCAAAAACGAGTTCTCCAGTTGCGAGGATATGATGAAGAACCCAATCATTAGAGTCTGCCTTTGGATTCTTGGAATTGTAGCGTTAGTCGGCAATCTGTCAGTGATTTTCTGGAGGCTCGTTTATGGCGAAGATAGCAAAGTTCAGTCCTTTCTTTTAAAAAATTTGGCAGTCGCCGACTTCATTATGGGTGTGTATCTCATTATCATAGCCGTACAGGACACTCGCTGGCAGGGAGAGTACTTCGAGCATGACGTGCGGTGGAGAGGTGGCACATTATGTCAAGTGACGGGTGCCTTGTCCATGCTCTCTAGTGAGGTAATGTTTGTAAATACACAGCTTTTGACCTCAGGCCTTATCCTCACAAATCATTCATTTCTCTTATTTGAAAAGAAGATGGCATGAGTTGAAATAACGGTTTACAATCTGAAATAAGGTAACGCCGAGTGAAAGCACTACACTAGGATCTGGTATAGGATAGTAGGATGAGGTATGACTGGTTGTGTCATAATTTACCTTTTAAAAAGGGAACAATTTAAATCTTAATTCTTAGCTCACGAAAAACAAGACGAGGGTTTCCGGACAAAACATCACTTGAGTTCCTAAGAATATAAGGGAAAACAAAACGTAAGGATGACTCGTGCGTAAATACTTCCTCAAGGATGCTATACTTTCCACTGAAGCACTTCGAATCCCTTCCTCTGCGTTTTAGATACATATTTCGAGAGTTATTGCAAGGTTACATCCGTCGATAAGGACACCACTGGATCTCTGGGAATATCTTTGATAAAGAGGGGCCATACTGAAGGGCCTTGAGATATCATGGTCCAATTCTCAGTCTCGTTAGTCTTTGGGTAAAGACGAAAGAAGCTAAAAAGAGCAAAAAGAGGAGAAAATGACAATTTTTCCTGCCCTTTTAGCTTTACTGTTTCAAGTGTTCGCAGAGTTAATCAAATCACTACAATTTCTCGCGTTCTTTTCCTCCTCAGGTTTCGGTTATGCTTCTTACCGTCATTACCGCAGACAGACTTATCTGCATCGTCTCCCATTTTCGAGTACAGCCTTTGAGCCTAAAGACTTGTTATTTGATTTGCTTATTGGTCTGGTTACTTGGCTTCGTCATATCATTTTTACCAATGTCGGGTCTGAGTTATTTCAATCCTGAGGGGAACGGGAATAGCTTCTACGGAAGATCAACAGTGTGCCTGGCTCTTCAGTTGTCCAATGACAGGCCGCCTGGCTGGGAGTATTCTGTCAGCATATTCATCGGCTTCAATTTAGCAGCATTTTTGTTCATTTCGTTGTCTTATGTGGCCATTTTTTTGTCTGCTGTGAAATCATCGAGCGCGATAAGATCAACGAATGTCAAACGGGAGTCAACCCTCGCCAAACGAGTCGCCTTTATCATTTTGACAGACTTCTGTTGCTGGATGCCTGTGATAATTGTTGGTATCTTATCCTTGACCGGAAGTTTCAATGATCCCGAGAAGCAGGTATATGTGTGGATGGCGGTATTTGTACTTCCGTTTAATTCCTCTGTGAATCCTATACTGTATACACTTGCCACTCCTCAGATGCGGGATTGGTTCTGTAAAGATTCTAAAAGTAAAGGTGAGAGCCTTATACTTGTTTTATTATTCATAGTCAATAGAGTTAAGTTCATTTTCACTTGCTTCTAAAAACTCTGCGGTAGGTATATGATAGCCAACAAATAGCCTTGCATATTGCGACTTCAGAATATCATATTTTGTTTCCCCCAGTGAATGGAAATAGAGGAGTTCGCTCTGTGGATAAATCAGCGACCCCAGCCAGCAATCTCACAACTGAAAAAACTAAGACTGAGTTCAGTTTTCCTTCGTTGAAATCCGTCACAGAACTGAATCATATTGGAAACATTAATGAGGTAAGATTTTAAAGAGACGATATCTAATCCCTTAAATTTGCTCATACAGACGGGGTGGATGAATAATTTGAAAAGCGTGGAACGCTTGGTGCTTACCGAACTATTTATGACGAGGTTAAAGAAATATACGGTACCTTATCTCCCATGATATTGCACAAAGTTTATTTTTACTAAGGTATTGAATTGGTTTGGGTGAAAGACAGTCAGGATAATCCTCTCTCGGACTTTTAATCGCTGTACCCCAATGGCTAGTTCGCAATAAGCATAGTTCTTTATCTTACAAAATTGAGCCTGGCTTTCTTCGTAATAACCTCAGCACTATGTCGGTCAGTTCGCTGTTCTACTAAACCAAGAGTCATAAAGGAAAAGAAAAAATATTTATAAGATAAGCTGATGTATGAAATTTCTCCTCATCAGGGTTTTCCGGACGATGATTTACAGCCAAAAAGCAGCAATGAATTGGTTTCAATAAAAAGTGGCTCTTTATGTGAAGACATGGTTTCCACTTTCGAAACTCACCTCTGAGGCGATATCTTGGATCGTGAAAAACAGTGGTGTTAGATTTGTTGGTTTACAAGGCTGAAACATACATAATATTAAGAACTAGCGACATAGCTATCTTTTTTTTTTATTTCCTCTAAGTGTTTTCAATTTAGTTACGTTATGTTCAATAGCTGGCAGATCAGACCTCTTGCACTTCTGAATGGTACATGGAAAAAATTTCCCTTGGTAACCTTTGAGCATCTTTACTTTTTGCTGAAGGCCTTTGTGGATATCAATTGGAAATAGGTACATATCAAGAGCTATCAGTTCTCCTCTAAAGTGGAAATTCCTCTCAAACAGTACAACTGATTTTCATTACGAATCTCATTTTAAAAAAAATTTAGGGGAGTAAAACTTTTCGATCTCGTAGCTGGAGTCTTTCAAAGAGAAGTTAGCTGTGAATTTATTCTGTACCGTAATCGTTGGGGTACTAACTACTTTCGGAGTAACTGGTGGCATTTCATATAGTGCTTTAATACTTTCCCATGATCAGTTCTGCCAGATCGATCTAGCTAGTCCAAGAGGTTCAAATCCCTGGATGAAAATGAACATCAGGCATCTTTTAAAATTGCCAATAAGTAATTTTATCTCATAGTGGTAAAAAGCCGATGGTTTTCTCGAAGGGTCAGCACAATGTATCAAAAAGGTGACTATTATATCCCTGATGATACTGTATCATCTCAGAAAAAAGTTTCAACTAAGAATGTGTTCTGCAGTTATCATTGACGGAGGTTTGTGTTCAATTGAATGTCGGCAAAAACAAGGGTTTCCCCGCAATAATTTGAAATTGTCTTTATATGGGATCAATAATAAAAGATCCAGTGACACAGTGGAAAAATGGTTGTATTGAATCCTGGTCTCCCGCAAAACGTTCTTCTTTCATGTTTATCTTTCCACCAAGGGGTATTTTAACAAGGAGAGCCAGGCAAATGCCGGAAAGACCCGAATAGAAGTTGGCTGTACATTACAAAATAAAGCCATCCAATCCAAAGGGAAGTAGTGATATTCCTAGTCGATTAATTGTATAAAAAGCAGACTATGCATGGGTCTAATATAGCCGTAGGTTTAAAATAAATATCTATGTTAACTTTTAAATCAGTTATGACATGGTATAAAGCGTGACAAATAAACTTCTGAGAGAATAAAAACCTTTTAAGAACAACTTTAATGTCTGTCTTAAAGCTTTGTTTTTGTCTGTTTGTTTCTGTTAATTTTAATTGTTTGTTTTTAAGCCAGCTCTGTAGGCTTGTAACATGACAATGACTTTCTATAGCAAGGGGAAAATGTTTTCTCGACGAGGATATTTTTTCGGATGATTTTTCTCCTTTTCCATTTTGAAAGAACAACCTTTTTATATGCTTTTCCCCTTTGCTAAAAGGATTATTCTAAGAAATCATACGAGCAAGCGGTTTCCCACCAACTGAAAGTTATTGGAGGAGTGAGTTGGTTTCCTAGGTATACTTCTCCTCTGAATTTGATGTAAGTTGCTAAGCAAATCATTCATTACGGCTAAAATTGCCGTCAAATGCTCACATTTAAGGGGGGAGAAACTTAAAAAGAAGCCTGTTGCTAGGAAAGCGGAAAGGCTCATTATTCGTCATTATTACTCGTTATCTATATTTAAATAGCTAATAATAAATACTTAAATACTTAATATTTTTAAGTATCAGGACGTATCGAAATTTATTATTTGTGTACTGTTTAAATATTAAGGCGACATTTCAACATTATTGTCGTAAACATGCCCACATCAGTTATAATTTAATTTTCAATCATTTATAAATAAACATCACTACCATGGCTAACAACCCACTCCAGTTTAATATACTTATACGAGGTTGTCCAGAGAGTCAACCATCAGTCAAGCATTTTTTTTTTTTTTTTTTATTGCAAACTCTCTCGACAACCTGGAATCAAATAGTTGGCGCTTATTACGATATGCATAGGGACACTTAGATCTTCAGAAAACAAGATTCATAGATTAAATAGATGAACGTGCTCCAAAACTGATCATGATTGTCTAAGATAATTCTTAATTTAAATGGATAAAAGAGTAACACAATCCATTACAGATCAAATGGCTTTTACTGCTGACGTTAACCTTGTTTTCTGTAGGGAAAGGCCACAAAGAGTATTTCTTCTTTCTCGGCGAGAGATAGTCCGCCGCATCTGAATTCCCTTTTTTCTTGAAGTTTTCCGTAATCTGATCTAGATGCTTTGCTGAAGATGCTTTGCTCATTGTTTTAACACAAATAAGACGCCCACGGCTAGATTTCAGATCTCCACAGTTTGGTCAAGAGTCTATACGCTAACCTTTCGTCTAAGTCCAAATCGTTCATTCTTTCTCTCGTTTTTCACAGCGGTTGTAGAGTGGCTAATAACCCATGCGAGAAAGTGGCGAAGTGTGACAATCACAGGGGAAAGTTCGGGTGTCGATGTCCAAAGGGCGATACTTGGGAGTACTGTGAATTGGTAAAGAATTTTATTATATTACATTATCCGTACGGTCCAACGCTCACTTTTAATGAAAAAAAGGAAAGAAAAGAAAATCCCTGTATGAAGGATGTAAACGATGACGCGAGCAGTGGGCTGCAATGAGCTGTACAACCCACAAGATGGTAGCGGAATACAAAGAGACAAGAGTATGATCGTGGATCCAGAGAGTAGACCGGGAAAAGTCTGTTTTCATTGGTATTGACTAATGTTTCGACAGCTGAACTAAGATCAGCCTTCATTGGCGTCCTAGAAATTATTTATTTACGACATTGACCAGGACAACCTAACTCTAACGACCACGCGAAACTGACCAATCACGACAGACTGACGTTACCTGAGTAAAAAACCTACTAATCTTTATACACGCCCAGATTCATGACACTCTCCTGCTAGACAAATCATCGCTTGATTCAAACGAACGAGGACTTCCGTTTAGGTTTTCAAAACCTCAGTTACTGGCAGCAGGCTCTCTCAGGGTTAATTACATCTCTTAGTAACTTTTAATGCGATCTTTGTTCAAACTTAGTTTTACTATCTGGAGAGAGTCTCTATTTTAGACAAAACATTTATGACACTTCGTGAGTGCATGCTTTTATTCAATATCCAAAAAGCCTTCGGCAGTAAAGACCACTCGAGGCTACAACAGTAGCAACAAAGTACAAAGTACCATTTAACACAGTAGTAATTGAATCAGTGTCCTGCCCTTTAGAGAATTTTCCACTAACTCAGCTAATAACAGAAAAAAATCATGACTTTTGTAAACTGAAAGTTATTTAGATAAAAAAAGATATTATTAGGCTTGTCATGGAAGTGAAAGAAGGAAGCATTCTGAGTCTCAAGAACTTCGCATTCCGCGCTCCGATGAGCACTGGACTACAATAGACAACTCAATTGTCAATTAGGCCATTACCGGGTTCATATGTGACAACCGTCCAAAGATTCTCCTATTTGCAACTTAGATTTGTTCTTTGTTTCATGCTCGTGAAAAACGAACAACATCTTTATTTATTGCATTATCAAGCTCAAAATTTCTCATCTTTCTCATTCTCTGGGTTACTCAGTTGTCTTCTATCTAGTTTATCAAAACGAAACTCCATTTCCGAGTTCCATCGACAAAGAGTTCAAAGAGACAGCTACTTTACGCAATTCAGGCTCGAGAAGTGTGGAAACTGATATTCTATGCCATGATAATGTAAGTGAGTTGAATCCAACTATAATTGGTGTACATAAACAAAACAAACCACGGCAATGACAAACTCAGTAATAAGTCAGTTACTCATGACCATGTCGCTTTCTCTTATTTTCATACACTTACACCACCTAATAGGCCTCATGCATGTTTACACCGGTCGGATTACCCAGTTTCACCCCGAAACCTCACTTTCAAGATATGGAATGGTGAATTTTAATCAGAAAGTATTCCCAACACACTGAGATGAATAGAATACTCACCCAGAAACAACAAGAAAGCGGCAAAGATTGATTAAAATATTACTGCAAACGAGGACTGGCGCTGAGTTTTCAGTATATAACGTAATTATGCATAAGATCTACTGAACACAATCGATTATCACGATCATTGTGAGGAAAGGAAGCCTAATGCTTCAGAGGCGAGTGTCGTAAGTAGCACTCGAGTTATCTTCTAAAGAGCCACTTTCCACCGAAGCAAAACTGTTGCTTCTCTCTGGCTGCGAAGTATCGTCTTGAAAACCCTAGAAGAAAAAAAATTCGCACATAAGCTCATCTTATAAAAAATTTTCATTCCATTTACACCTTTATCTTTAATGGCTCATTGTTACTTAGAATAAGGTACTGCCGGACGTATTGCTAAGGCTAACATAAAGAAGGTAGTAGAAGTAGGCCCACATTTTCGCTAGTTAAAGAGACTGCAATTTTAGAAAGTTCTTACGGCAAAGTGTCTCCCTGGGCAAACCAAAAGAGGATTACCCTGAATATCTTATTTTCAAATCTGATACAATGACGAGTAAGAGTAAACTTTGAGTGACAAAACAGGTGATTACATGAATTATACACCTTTAACCTCTTAACCAACGCGGTATGTGGACGTTCCGATCTTTTCAAATCATTCATCCGCCCCTTCTACAGATGTGAATTGAGAGATTGTAAATTTTCCCTGGCCACTTACCTTATTGACATACCCACTACGTTCCAGATTGGCGACGGATTTCAGTGAAGGCACACTGAGTTCAATCGTTGTTATTCCTGTAGTAGGATTGCTGGCAGGTGTTGTGGAAAAAGCAGCTGATTTACCCACAGGGCGAATGCCTCTATTTCCATCCTCTGAGCAGGAAAGAAAATTTAACGAGATTTTAAAGTTTGTTTGAGCAACATTTCAGGGTATTTTTGTAAAAAAAAAAACTCGCGTTCAAGTTTTAGGAGGAAAATATGGCAATAGAAGATGAACTTATCGCTTTTGCTGACGATGACTAGCTTTAACAATGACTTACCTTTACTTTTAGAATCTTTACAGAACCAATCCCGCATCTGAGGAGTAGCAAGTGTATACAGTATAGGATTCACAGAGGAATTAAACGGAAGTACAAATACCGCCATCCACACATATACCTGCTTCTCGGGATCATTGAAACTTCCGGTCAAGGATAAGATACCAACAATTATCACAGGCATCCAGCAACAGAAGTCTGTCAAAATGATAAAGGCGACTCGTTTGGCGAGGGTTGATTCCCGTTTGACATTCGTTGATCTTATCGCGCTCGATGATTTCACAGCAGACAAAAAAATGGCCATATAAGACAACGAAATGAACAAAAATGCTGCTAAATTGAAGCCGATGAATATGCTGACAGAATACTCCCAGCCAGGCGGCCTGTCATTGGACAGCTGAAGAGCCAGGCACACTGTTGATCTTCCGTAGAAGCCATTCCCGTTCCCCACAGCATTGAAATAACTCAGACCCGACATTGGTAAAAATGATATGACGAAGCCCAGTAACCAGACCAATAAGCAAATCAAATAACAAGTCTTAAGGCTCAAAGGCTGAACTCGAAAATGGAACACGATGCAGATAAGTCTGTCAGCGGTGATGACGGTAAGAAGCATAACTGAGACCTGAGGAGGAAAATAGCACGAGAAATTTTGGTGATTTGATTAACTCTGCGAAAACTTGAAACAATAAAGCTGGCCTAAGGATCAAATTACAAAAAAAAACCGTGCGGTAAAATTGTCATTTTTCTCCTCTTTTTGCTCTTTTTGGCTACTTTCGTCTCTACCCAAACACTTATGAGCCTGATAATTGGACCGTGATATCTGAAGGCCGTTCAGTATGGCTCCTCTTTATCAAAGACATTTCCAGAGATCTAATAGTGTCCTTATCGACGGATGTGACCATAATAACCTTACAATAACTCTCGAAATATATATCTAAAACGCAGAGGAAGGGATTCGAAATGCTTCAGTGCAAAGTATATGTTCCTTACGTTTTATTGTCCCTTTCATTCTTAGGATCTCAAGTGATGTTTATTTTGAAACCCTCGACTTGTTTGCCGTGAGCAAAGAATTATGCTTAAACTCTTCCCTTTTTTAAAGGTAAAGAACTTTGGGAAATTATGACGCAACCAGTCATACCTCATCCTACTATCTAAGAGCCTATACCAGATCTTAGTGTAGTGCTTTCACTCTGTTCTATCAAATTTCATATTGTAAACTGTCATTTCACCTCACACAATCTTCATTTTAAATAAGACTAAAAAATGACTTGCGAGGATAAGGATTCATACTAAAAGCTGCAAATTTACAAAAATTACCTCACTAGAGAGCATGGACAAGGCACCCGTCACTTGACATAATGTGCCACCTCTCCACCGCACGTCATGCTCGAAGTACTCTCCCTGCCAGCGAGTGTCCTGTACAGCTATGATAATGAGGTACACACCCATAATGAAGTCGGCGACTGCCAAATTTTTTAAAAGAAAGGACTGAACTTTGCTATCTTCGCCATAAACGAGCCTCCAGAAAATCACTGACAGATTGCCGACTAACGCTACAATGCCAAGAATCCAAAGGCAGACTCTAATGATTGGGTTCTTCATCATATCCTCGCAGCTAGAGAACTCGTTTTTGGGAGAATCACATATCAAGTCCTTTGCAGCTTTCTTAGCGTAACAGCAGACAATGAAGCTGTCCAGTGATCTACCAAAGGAAAAGTAACTGGTTTGTAGAAAGGGTCGGCATTGTCATTGTATTCGGTTTTAGATTTCAAATCCACTTTCAGTTGATTAAAAGTGTAGGAGAGTCACAAAAAAGACAAGAGATCAGTTTCAGGTAAAGTGAAGTTTCTCATTCAGTGTAACAAGATTTTTGTCCTTAGTACAGATAGAGATGGTTGACATTTCTAATAAGCATTAACATGTAATGCAGAATGTGTAGTACTTACAAGATCCTAAGGTTAAGCAGGCCTTCGAAGATGTCCGTCGCAATTTCACTTTCAAGAATGGTGTTTTCGTGAAGACGACTGCATCCAACGTCAAAGTTAAAGGGAGGAAATTAGCCGTTGTTCTAATTCATAAACATGTCTATTCAATTATAAACAGGAGGTTTATTAAAAAAAAAACCCATTGCACGACAATTTCTTTGACCTTTGGATAATATCAATAATGCATGACAAAATCCTAACACCACTCCCGAAAAATTAATCTTTTGTAAAACGGGCAGCAGAAGAGACCAGTGACTCTTATTTGTTTACTATTTAAATTATTTCTGTATTTATCTTGCACGGCTAAGAACCAGTCCTATGATGAATTTTGTGTGGTGATCGCGTGTATCAATACATTTTCTCGAAAATATCGGTTGGGTCGAAACATGTTTGTCAGCTAAAGGGTGTTATCTTAATACAGCACCAGCTCCTCTCGGCCGATTAGCAAGGGAAATAAAACAGCTAGAGAAGATTAATACAAGCAGATATTTGGACTTAGAGGTTGTTCAAGAGTCACTAAGCCACCTGAGCCATGTCATACCTACGAGGGAGAAAGCATTCCCTTAAGCAAAATTATAAACTAGTCACGTGGTTGTCTAAGCATATCTTTACAAAGAAACCGTACGAATCCTCCCATAGAGTGACGAAAAAACAGCTTGCAAATTCCAAAAGGCTTAGAAACACTATTCTCCCCCTAAAAACCCTACCTTTATGAAAAAGGGGGGTCAAGTCATCAATAAAATTACTTGCTTTGGCACGACCCTGGTATCCATGATCACCGAACAAAACCAAAAAGATATTTTTTCATTTTATGCGATCTAACTTCTTAAGATATAGCACAAATTACATTTACATAACCACAAAACAATGAACTTACAGTGTTGTGAGTAAGATCAAGCCAGTAAACATGCCTTTGGTAAGTCGTTTCAATCCGTTGTTGTGCAGATGTCTAAAACCCAAAGAACGTAAACATTGATTTACAGAGATTAAAGAGAAAAATGAAATAGTAGTTGAAGCATGCTATGACAGTAATATCGTTAGAGAATACTAGTTCCATTCGCAAATATGAGCTACGGTTAACAATTCTGTCAGGCAACATAAAGAAAACTTACAAGTATCTTAGCTGTGAGAGAGACGCAAACGCTTTCTCTTCAATTATAATTATTTGGTTGTAGTCAAGATACCTGGAGGAAGGGAAAGAAGTAAATGAACACGAAATCACCAAATATTTAGTTATATTGTATGTCGTTTCTGCAAAGCAAAAGGCAACGGTCATAATAGGTTTATAAGAGAGGTTGTGGTTTGTTATCATGGCGAGTAAAGTTGTTAGTCTTACGATTGAGTCACGTCAAAAATGGATCACAACATGTCGGCTGCAAAAGGCTGGCAGTGTGCAATCGAAACGTGGTGATCTACATCATAGGGCAACGACTGAAAATTCACCACATAACTCTGATTATATTACGTATGGCAAGAAAAGATCTGTTCACAAAAACTTTCTTTACTGAAAAGAGAATAAATCATAAACAAGTGATTACTGATTTCGAAACTATGCGTGAAGGTGCTTGACAGCCGCCACACACATGGAGCTTCTCCCTGTAGGTGAGCCAACTTTTCTCCAACATTTGAGACGTCTATACGCAAGCTAGCGCGCAGGCTAGTTTTTGGTTCTTGTCTTAGTTACTAAGACTTTTTCCCAGGTTCTACGGTTTTCCTCCCTCTAGAAAAGTTGAGAAAGGAAGTTGAGAGGATCGCTTACTTACAGATGAGTTAAGCGTGTTGTGCGTTTAAATACATCCCTCTTAATATGACGAATACTGTTAGATCGCAGGCTTCTAAAAAATAAAATGAAAATAGAAATTTTCACAAAAAGTGAAACAGAGATTCATTTCATTTTAATAAGAAACTTTTTTCACGCCACTTACAAGATTCGTAAGTCTGTCAAATTGTCGAAAACGCCTTCTTGAAGGTCAACAAGAAGGTTTTCACCAATATCTCTGCAAGACACAAAAAAGAAACCGTTTTTGTATTTTTAATTTTACGTTGCACTCTCTTAAAATAGGCCAGAGCTTAGGCATCTCTGCCGAATATGTATTTGATTGGCTGACAATTAAATTGTGCATCCCACATTGAGAGCGAATCACCGTCAGTCAATTTATGCTTTTGTAAGTATGTAAACCAATCGGTAGAGTTGTCTGAGTATTTAATTGATGTAATTTGTCTTCTATAACACTTTTTATCATTATTTTCCATTTCAATGATTAAGTTATGTTTCAGCATTGTCACATTATATACTTACAAGTATTGAAGCTTAGTTGTTTCACCAAAGACGTCACTGTTAAGTTGCCTCAAGAAATTATTGTTGAGCCTCCTATGTCATGATGCAAGCAAAAGAAAAAGTTATTCAGGTTCGTCTGGACTTCACCAGAGAACTCTATGTCCTCTACGTTTTAAGTGATTAGCTTTCGTCTCCAAACTTTCCATTTATCACTCTATTTAAACGGATTCTGTATAAGAGCTGTACCGGAGGGTTTTTCTGGTGTACTTTCGCTAAGGTATATTTATGTAGTATGAATGATCTACATTACAACAAAAATTTATTACAAACTTATTAAACGCACGGGAATAAGTTCATTGAATGTAAACTTAATAACTGCCTACTCCCTGAAAGCTGACTCACCCAGTAGGAAGTAGGAAGGACGGGGAGGCTAGATTACAACTACAACGAATAAGTCCGGAAGCAAGAACTCACGTGATACTAGCAAATCATTGGGGATCCCAGTGTCCGTTGTTAGCTTTCAATTTTATTGTTAACTTTTCTCCCAATACTGACACTACATCTTAAGCAAATGGAATTGTGCATGACTAACAATTTTGTGAATCCTTTCCCATCGCTTATACATATTTTCTGAGTAGTTAAATATATTTCGGAGTTTGATCTTCAGTCTTGAAGAACCGACAGACGTGACTATACTACTCTTCACGGTCAAGCAATTCCACAAGTTACGATTATAGGATAATTTCTGAGCAACTTACAACGTTTCCAGAGATTTTAAACTTTCAAATGTTCTAGGTTCCATTTGAAAAACTTTGTTGTGGCTTAAATCCCTGAAACAAAAGAGAGAGATAGTTGATTGATGCGTACTTCACATCCCTTTATATCCTTATATCTCTTTATATACTTCCTATTTGGCATAATTAAGAGAGATTCGGTTGCATTTTATTAATGAAGACACTTTGTGATGCGTCTCATACGAAGAAGAATCTTCTCGATGGTTGTTAAAACTTTAAAAAAGATTCAAAGCAAACTCTGTTGACTTACATGTAGGTAAGAGATGACAGAGAGTAAAAGTCTCTGTTCCTTAGGCGAGTGATTTTGCTGCCAGCAAATAAACTGGAAGAGAGTAAGGAATATATATCACCTCATTTTACTCAAGGTTTTATGGCGGGTACGGTCGTTGAGAACGTTTGGAAAGACAATTCGTGGTCACCATGTGAAGGACCAATCTCCGGGGAAACGCCCTCCATATAACTTACCAAAAGGAGTTTATCACACTTACAATTTAAAGGATCTTTCGTAGTAATGAACAAACGTGAATTTGAGTAGTTCTTTAATTGAATTATATTTGCCATTTTTTTATATTTACCAATGTCTTCAAAATAAGTAATGAAATTTTCCAAGCCATCCGTTATCTACTGAGATAACTATGGCGTGGTACAAAAACTGTGTTATAAGAAATTTTGAAAGTTCGATTGAAAAACGTGTCAACCAATTATCCAGCAGATTGAAGACATATTAACAATTAGCGTTTAAGCCGACGAAACAGAACAGACTTCATGCTTAGAAATAAGTGCGCTGTAAAAAAAAAAATACGGCAAATGAAGTTCCGTTAATGGGGTCAAATGGACCTTTTCAGAGTTCTCACGACGCAGCTCATATCGAAAATAAGGCCAAGTGTAAGACCTTTCTTGTTAAATGAGCTATATTTACAGAACAATTAAAAATCATTTTTAAATCACAGGTTTCGTTCGTTTAAAAGCAGAAGCTTTAATTTACGTATCTCGAAGATGACCTTAAAGACGTGAGAACTTTCCAATTTGAACGAACTGTATATTTTTCTGAATGAAAAAAAAGGGAATCATCTCGCGGAGACAGAAGAGATGTCTTATGAGGGAGTGGAATATTTTGATTCTTCTACACTCGTAGCAAACGCTATACATCTTTGGTTATTCTGCCTCATAGCTTTCTCAAGCTTAATACCTATTACTAGTCCAAAGGTATTATTTCCAGCCATTTCGTCTTGTATTTCGTTGCTCTATCAATGAAGAGATGGATACAAGCAGGTACGGCCTATCTTATCCACTTTAGGTGCTTCGTATGCGTCCATCTGGTTCTTCGTTTTTCTTAAGCTTTCATTAAAAAGAAAAATTGTGACGCTGCATTGTCACAGATGTTTCTTTGAATAAAAATAAAAGAGGAGACATTCCGCCCATTAAATATTGATTTTACCCTACAAGTACTGCATTTTCTCGATCAAATTTCCTGTGCGGCACTCATACCTGTTCATATTCAAACTAAGCCTCTTGACAGAAGTGACATGCGAATAAATTATTTAAACACTGCGAACAATTAACTAAATGAAATCTACACATGCAAAAATTATTATTTATATTTCTTTTTCATTTTCCCTTCCCTTTTTCATCTTATTTGATTTACCTGTTAATCGATTCATTCACCTGTTTTGTTTTCTTCCTTCAAAAACTTTAATAGACAGCAAAATGTTCCACGTTTGTAATGAGTTATAGAATATAAATAAGCTAAGCTTTATTTATAAAGTGGTTAACCTTAGAAAAACAGTTGAGCTGCACCTTTGACGGGTACTACTTTTCAATTTGGTTTATCAGCTGGTCGAGTTGACAATGTAAACTGGCCACCATAAAGAGTTCGTGAAGCTGGCTTTTCAAGCGTTAACCCTCTGTCAGAGCGAATAGCGAAGGGCAAACGCCCAAAACGTCAGCGGGGACCGATTTACAAAACTAAGTCAGTCGATAAAAGCAAATTATCTCAGCTTTAGTTCGACAATCGTTTGTTAATGGTGTGATTTTTCGTTTCCAAGCGAATACTCCGCTCACTGGCAGGTATCCTTTGACTGTTGAGAAATGACGGAATTTGTCTTAAGCCACTCCTGTACTTACTGTTGAAGATGAGACAAACACAAGGATTTACAGCGCTCCACGAATGTAACAAAAATTGCACCACAAATAGAATCACCGTTTGAAATGCACAGACGGGAGGCAATCCTTTATCCCATAGGACAATTTGAGCGAAAAGGTAAACAGAAAGTGGAATCGTGCAAAAACTGAAAGCAACTATTATAGCCACCGACATTCGGACAATTTTCTTGTGTTGTTCATCACGCGATTTGTGTCTACAACCCAATTGCTGTTTTTGTTTGGTGTTGCTTCTCTTCAGCTTCCATGCTATCGTGCCATACACGATAGCCATGACTCCGATAGGAACGAGGACGAAGGTGATGAAAGTCGCCGTGACAAACCCCTTGTGTGTTTCCTCGTGGTCAAATGCCGGTCCCCAGTTAAGCCGACAAACAACTTCATTACCCTCTGGAGTAAGTTTGTACGCATAGAAATAGGGTGCGTGGACCATAATAGCGACAATCCATGTGCATAAAACGCCAACAAGGCGCACTTTTGAAGAGATGAGCTTAGCTTTAAGTGGGAAAAGTACAGCAATGAACCTGTCTACCGATATCAATAAAAGGCTTTCAATGGAAACGACCAGCGACACATCTATAAGAAAGTAGGAAAGTTTGCATAATATGCTTCCCAGCAGCCACGGTCTGACGACCTTCCAGGAGACTGATCCTGAGATGATCTGAACAAGATGGATGGGCATGAGAGTGAATGGGTTGAATAAGTCCGACACAGCCATGTTGAAAACGAGATAGTGGATTGACTTTCGGGATTGCTTGTTCTTTGCAATAGACAGGATGAGGATTGCATTTCCAACCAAGGAGAAAACCAGAATGGTGGAGTAAGCTGAGGCCTTGGCCACCATTTCTACAGTAGAATCACCCGCAACACAAGTCGAATTGGTAATATTTGGAGCAACATACCTTGGATATGAAATGTTCTTGTCGAAGGACTCCATTGTAGAAAATTTGCTGAACCTGTTTGTATTTCAAGTTGGTTGGCCAACATCAATTGACCGATGTTACCTCTTAAAGAGTGTCAGAAATTGAGCTGTTTTGTTAGAGAAAATGAAAAGTTGGAAATGTATGTACATAAATAGTTCGATTGCTTAAATTGTCAGATTATATTTACCGAATGCATTTATTAGCCAATCGCTTACATGGATAGAGGAAATTTCCTGTCTCTGATAAAAACAAGAAACTGCTCGATCCCGTTTAATTAAGACAGATAGAGGAAAACTTGGCTTTTTGGCTCTCATAGAATGTATCTGAGTGAAGGAAAGTAAAAAGCTTTTGTTTCGCCGAAACAATTATCGAGTTTCACATGAATTTCTTGGAGTCAATTTTCCTATAAAATACCGGTAAACTTTGAAATGGATATTTGTTTCAAGTCCATCTTGCTATTGAGTTACTTTTGCAGGAAAACCTACATCAAAAACTAGAGTGATGAGCTACTCTGACAAAGAGGAATTCATCCCTGTCGTGTTAAAACGTCTTAATGGATTCACCCGACAACTATGATCTCTCAACTCATTGTAACGCGGAATTCTCGCCCACTTTCCATTTCATTCATAAATTAAACAGTCATGCTACCCGTTCACCTGCCCGCTCCTAAATCATCAACAGTGAAGCCAATTTGAAGCACGACTACGGTAATAGACATCTATCGTAAACTTTGTCAAAAAAGTATAGAAAGCATACGTACTGTACAGATTATAACATCCTACTTTCTTAATTTCATTGCATGTAAATGTGAAAGGCTTGTAAACGCCCGGGTCACGAGATATGTAATCATATTTTTATTCCTATTGCATCTTGACAACTTCTGTGACATGTTTTTGATTACCAACGAAATTTTACGTATTCGCAATTATAGCTATCGCTGCAGCAAAAAAACCTGGAGTGTCTCTGAAACTAAGCAGTGAAAAAAATTAAAAATGAGGGTCAAGTCATTCCAAGGACAGTGCCTTTTCAAGTTTGAAATTTACTTTTTTTTTCGTACTGTTATTTTTTATCCGTTTCATCTCGAGCTTTTGAAGTCGGAATCTACATTTCAATCTTACTTCTTTTTGCCTTCCATAGACGATCTTCTTGCCTTCCATAAATGAACTACCCTCGCTATTAGTAAAAAAAGGGATAATTTTATCCACTCCGACGCTGCTGAAATGAGACAAAACAATTTTTTCGATTCATCACCTCTTTTCTAAATATTAAAGATCGGCGATTCGATAATTCTTACATATTTTCCTTTAATCTCCATTAATTTCAAACTCGTATATGTAATTTCGGGGCATTAATGCTGACATATGTCAATTTTTTTTACCAACCATTACACTACTATTTGAATGGTTTTGCATCTCAGAGAAAAAAAAAGGAACATCTGTCACAATAGAGACTTTCCTTTGTTATCAACAGATTCTTTTTATAAACGTTTGAAAACACTGCACTGAAGCAAAACCTTCTTCCGTTCCTCAAAATTGATGAATGTGTAGTCGTCGGGAAGAAACTACCACTGGAAAGAAGCCAGGCATAAGGTGACAGATTTCAATCTTCCCGCATGCAGCATTAAAATATGAATCAATCAAAAGACGTATTATCATCTGTACGCTTGAAATTCAGCCCCAAAAAGTGAGAAGGGAAATTCCTTATGAAATACTCAATGATGCACCTGAAGAAAATCCGTTCACATGTGTAAATTCCAAAATAGACAAAAACGAAACATTAGAAAGGTTTACATGGATTGCAATATTTCAAGCCAGTGGAAGAAAAAAAAAATTTGGTTAACAAAACAGCAATTACGGCATTTCGTCGCCTTAGGTGAATATATGTATATTGCCTGTCGCACGAGATTTTTGAAAACATAGTATTCGTAATTTGGATCAAAAACGTATTACACCCTGGTTATAATTTTTCTTTAGTGGTCATCTATATATGTCACATCGAGTTGTGTGTGATTAAAGATCTTTACCGTACAGAGAGAACCCACTATTTATATTTTCACATGTAAAGATAGCGATGTGTTATCTAGGTTTATCAACTCGGCGGTTTTGCTACATTCCCTCCTTTTTGATTTGTATTGTAAACATTTGGGGTAAAGTTTCCGCACAGCTCCGTACTATTGTAAAACAAATCTGTTCTCCCAATGGAAATGTATTGTTTTCTCTGTTCAAGAACTGAATGCATAATGTAGGATGGGGCTGAGCGGAAATTTTACCACATTTGGTAACGATAGCTTGTGTTATTTCATGGCGGATGCTGAAATGACAAGATTTCAGAAATTCAGGACACTCAAAATCAGTTTCCAACAACTATAATTCTTGCCTGCTTCTACTGTTCTTCAATTTGCATAAAGAACTCGTGAGAATGTGTTGCCTCATGAAACCATGAGCCACTTGTTCTTATCCTTATTGAAAGCGGTAAACAAGAAAGGCAAAGAATACTCATGATGTAAATAAGCAATAGAAGGAATTTACAGGGCACACCTCGTTTTTTTGTGGACGAACCAAAACCCTTTGTACTCTAAAATTGTCTACTCATCAACTGCAAGATTGTGGGAGCAGTCATTCTACAAGATTTAATCTAATTCTCCTTCTACTCCATGACTGCTCCGAAAATTGGCCAGGCATTTTGAAGCGACCCGGCTCCGTAGCCTGTCCGGTGAAGTTGATCCTAGCATTGGGAGTTTTAAAATGTGCTGAGAGATTGTCGGTGAAAGCTCATTGATTTCTGTATGTTTACAAGTACACTGCTAGTCTGCTTGCGGATACGAATTTATCTTTGCGTGTTGATTGCATCCGCGCATCATCATGTAGAATCCTCCAGATAAATCTCGTTTTAAAAAATGTGTAATATAGGGTAAATCAATTTTTTCAAATACTAGTTATTACTTACAGGAAACCTAAAAATAACCCACTAGGGAGGAATGGCTCTACATGCTTGTCACACGAAGAAATAGAGCTTTACCAGCAAAACAAAAATAGGTGTTCAAATTATAGAAAATCTATATGAGCTTCTTTGGATGGTATATAACGTAGGTAGCCAGTGGCTACAAGTATAAAGAGCTAAACAGCAAGGCTTCAAGACGTTTGCATTGCCTTTGAATGGTCACAAAATTCGTCCGAACAACTTTGAGAGCAAATGATCGATGCGGGCTGTGATCTGCGAATCGAATCATTTGATAAGGGGTATGTTCTACCAATTGTTTGCAGCTTTTTTAGGTGATTTCAGCTAAGAAATATCAAACACATTTTATGCTAGACCTTGGTAAGAATTCCTCTGAGCTTTCGTGCTTTTTATAAAAACGAAAAACAATTGAATAACTTAATTACTTGACTTACAGCACTGTTGTAAGACTTGATAAATTCCATGGTATACTTTCCATGTATTCTGCCCCTTCCAACACGTACTGTGACGGTGGTCCTTTTGTAATGTAACACGTGCAACCCACTGGACAATCTACGCAAACAATGTGTACTAAGATAAATCAACAGTACTTATCAGGTTTTCTAGTCGTTATAAATCTCAAATTGAAAATTTTTCTGCATGTAACAAGAGTTGCATAAAGTAAAATAAAAGTGGTTGTGGGCCACAGAAATTGGAACTTATTGAACTATTTACTGATATCTCTCCATTTGCCGATTCAAATTCTCCTTTTTTCACTAATCGATATAATGCCTGGATATCCTTATTTTTTTCGGCGACTAAATGCTTCCAAATCGACTTCAGCCGTGAATCTGCCTTATTGGTGGACGAGCTATGAAAACGAACTCGGAAATATTTTTTAAGTTTACAATGTTTTGGGACTAGTAGATGAGGCTATGGTGGACAACCAAAGATGTTTTTACCTGGTTTCATTTTACATTTATCCCTCTCATCTGAAAAGCAAATTGGGAGGATTATCATAATGAAGTAATTAACTCTTGCAAAAAAAATGTATATTCTATGTCGTTGTATTGTTGGCATTTCTTCGATGTCTGCACATTCATCGACTGCACACATTTTGAGGGTCGAACTACATCGACTCATATGACGAATTATTTCAAGGCGGTAAGTCGCGATGGTGAAGTAAGGCTGGGCCAAAACCACGATTTTTTTTTTGCATGAAACAGAAACGTGGAAAAATTATATCGCAAAAAAAGAGAAATTTTCTCAAGTAAAAGTTTTCAGAAGACAAAAAGTACTTCACCTTTCCTCGTGTCGTAGTAAGCTTTGAAACCCGTACGCATCCCCTTGTTATCAGATTTAAACACGACGAGCAAATTATTCGACGAAGATTCCAACATTGCAGGGTGCGTATGACCACAAAATCTGCCAAGCGAAGTAGAATATGTCGAATTTCCGTCAAATACTTCAACATAATCACTTAAACATTGAGGTCCAGTTGCTTCCAGCTGAAAGTAAAAAAATTCAAGTCTGATCACGTGACCAATCGCAGCGGTGACGAGCCATTCACACCAACTGTCATTTGCGTAATATCCCGGGTAGTAGGGTGACGTTATAACACCAGTTTTGTCCGTGAAGAGCTCCCTGCATGCTGAAGATGAATAATTTCATAAAAGGTTTAGTATAGTAATGTTATAGTTCAATGTCATTTGTTTTTGAAAGAGTTGGCGTCGGAAGATGCAATTGTCAGAGAAGTAGAAAGTCCGAGGTGAATGGCTTATTAACTGCAGTTAGAAAGATCCTATGGTTGGTTGTCAACACAAAATCTTATCCATATCTATTTCAGTATAACAATATTATGTTATGGTTGGCAGCACCCTCGGAAAAGATGAAGCAAATTCTGCATTCTGATTGGCCACTCGAGCAGAAAGATTGGCCCATCTCGCCTACTCGGGATTGCCCGCTTTAATCCAGAGCAAGCAAAAAAATTGCGTCGAGCAGACTTACAAAAATCATATTGTTTTTGAAAATGTCGCAAAAAGTGGTATGAGACAGTGAAAAGAGAGTAAACATAAATGACTTCTCTGAGTTTATTGTTGCGCCATGAAACAGGAAAATTCTTAAAACACAATGTGAGATGAATTTCCCAGCGCTTCAAAATTGACAAATCATTCTTGATTCTGATTGAAACGAAATATTTTAGGTATATCATGAATCCTTTATTGACCAAGGTTATTTGGTCAGTGTGGCCGGAAAGTAGCATCCATCTTCCTTTGCCTTTATATGGACCTTGACTTTGTCTCTACCATTAAAAACCCCAAATATGAACTCCGCCAATATCCAGCCATCTCGACCACACGGTTGGTAATTAATTCACGTATTTTTTGCTCTTTACCTCTTCTTGCAGCTACTTCTGGCTCTGGGGAACAATAACCATTGATGAAGTAAAGTGCTCCTATTGAAATAAACCCTGTTTGGTCTTCCAGGTTTCCTTCAAAAATGAGCTGCAACAAAAGAACACGGAAGTGCACTAGATTCGCTTCCGCCGGTGAGAGGTAAAGTGAAATGGAGAATGTAATTGTATTCCAGGGCTGATTTACTTGACGTAGTTGTCACTTCCATACTGAACAATATGGTAAGGTGACATAGCCGCACTATTATATGAAAGTAAGTCGAACATGAAGTCTCTCTATTCCCCTTATCAAAAACTCCGAGTAAGAATGGAAGGCAAATTGTGACCTTTCGAAACTAAATTTCTATCCCCCTTATCAAAAACTCCGAGTAAGAATTGAAGGCAAATTGTGACCATTCGAAACAAAATTCTCTATCCACAAGCTTTTGGTTCGCTTGTTTGCTTGTTTGCTTGCTATGGCAAAAACTTACCTGCGGCTAAGTTATGTCTAGTTTATCGCATTGTTAAGAGGATACTGCAATGCCTTTCATGCAAATTCATTTTTTGTCATTTAACAAGATCCCTTTGCCCCCAGAACTTTTTACCCCGGTGACAAATTGTTCAGGGGCCGATTAGCGCTGAGCTAAGGTTAAATTTTAATCCAGGTTTCTTAACTTCTATGTTTTAAAAATAATAAAGTTTCCTTTGAGGCTTTCAGATCTGAGATCAGAAAGCACACTAACCCTTAAACCAGCTTTGAACAACCGGGCCCTGGAGTCAAAGTAACCTTCAATCATTTCATAGGTCAGAAAAATAACCAAAACTTCATAATTATCATATGAATAATTATTTCTGTAAATATTCAATTTTATTAACAGTTAGTAGTAACTACTAATTATTCCCTAGTTATTTTTATAACATTTAAAAAATATCTTACTTGGTGTTCTGTGATCCCTGTAACTGACACTTGACCATACTGCCAGGTGTCGTCCCTTGTTGAGTCACCTTGCCAGATTGGATTTTCCTTTGAGTTGTTCCCCATTATTTGGTAAAGCCGTAAGTTGTTATTTCCTACTCCAAGAATCATGTATCGGAACTTCAGGCATCTACCATAACCATCAGCTGATCTGTTATACCATGGGCTCCATACGCGTGCTTGCTCTGTTGTAATGTTACTTGAAAGAGAATACGCCGCAAGGCGATTACCTGTGATGAAACATGCTGTGGGTTATTAACGTAAACTTTACCATTGTTTAGTCAAACTGCTTCTCAGTGATCTTTTCTTTTGCCGAAAGTTCTATCATAACATTAATAGTTTTTGAATGGGGAGAGGAATACTTCTAGATAACTATATTTGCATACTTCAAACAAACCAGTCACTCAAAACCTCTAGATCCATGTAATGCCCAACATCAGAGTCAAACCTGAACTTTGTTTAGAAAAAGCGGCCCTTGATTTTAAGTTAGTGGTCAAAGAAGCCGAAACATAAAAAAACCAACAACGGAAAGGGGCTTCACCGAAAAATGTATTTGTATAACAGGTCAATGAGCGAAGAAATTTTATCACCTCCAGGTAATTACAAAGTTTCGATCCCGTGTTGAGCAGCTATGTTAATGCATTGGTTAAAAAGGTGTAAAAGAGATAAAATTCCTTAGGACTGACTTGATCCGTACACAAGACCGCCTTTATATTGATTTCGTAAACAAAATGGCGCCGTGGCGACAAGTGAAAACAATCTATTTTAAGACGCCACTGTTTGGTTTAACTTCCTAAAATGTACTACATGGGTGGGTGTATTCACTTACCAGTCACGTCTCGACATGCGGAAGTATCGTAATGAACATGGGCGTCTCCTATGACTCCACTAATCATGCTCCTCCAAGCCATGAGATCACCGTCTCTCATTCCACACCCTAAAGACATTCGTTGAATTTCTTCCTCATCGAGTGCACCTTCCCATAAGTTAAGATCACTTGTACGACCGCACGCGTCTACTTTTGTTGAATTTTTAACATCGGTGCAATTGACAGTAAGGCGACCTCTTCCTGATGATTAATGAGTAATTTAATTATCCTTATGAGCAGAGCACACGATGCAGTGTTTTGAACGGATGTTTGGGGGTGTCCATCAAATTGCAATTATAACGTGAAACGAATTATTGATTAGCTTTTGGTTATCCTTCCAACCATATATACATTGATTACCACAGAGGATTTGGTTATGGTGAAATGTTGGAAAGCATAAGAATAAGTTAAAGTTCTGGATTAGAATTAGTTCATCGTTCAGGATTAGAGTCAAGATTATTTTTCCATCGTTCACTTAAGCATTTTTACGCGATATCGAGGTACGATGTAGGATACTTTTAAAGAAATTCATATTTGCTTTTTAATAATACCTCTGATGTCCAGAGTGTCGATACTAGAATCAGACGTGCTGACAAGTTTCAGTCCGTCGACAAAAACTTTGAGGAATCCACCAAATGAAGACCAGGTCAGACAAACATGATGCCACTCTTGATCAGCAACAAATGACGGGACTTTCCTGCAGTCAAAAGCTGAAAACTGTCTATTCTCTTTGCCAAATTAATTTAACCAAATAAACCACAACCTGACCGAACAAGATCTACCCCCAAACTAACTAATCGCCTCACTTAGAGCATTTACGGCGCAGAGTGCTAAATAAAATTCCAGTAAAACGGCAATAGTCCAGTATCCAGTAATCTACTGGCTCGAAATTTCGGTTCATTATTTTTAAGTATCAAGTACTACTCACCATTCCTCTTCCAAGACAGTAACTGTGATGGTGCTATTGAGATTTATTCCAAGAGCTGATTCTTCAGGACAATCCGCCAATTTTGTCCAGTATGTTATGTCCACAACGGATTGGTTTGTTTGGAGCCAAACGCAGACAGTTACAGCTTTCAGATCATTTTCAAGTGCAATTGGAACTGAAATATTTCCAAACTCGGCTAGTGGTAGGATAACTATGAATTCGTCTTTCTCTCTAGGGGTCACTGTGTACAAAGTCAAAATGTAAAGTTGTAAAGATAGAAAGGTCCTTTCCCAAATTCAGTTGAATCTAGGAACAGGTTCAGCTCGGGAATGGAGCGAAGGTCGGAGCGACCGAATGCAAAAGGATCTGGGGGCAAGGTAAGTAAAGAGGCCTTTTCCCTGAATTATTCCGTCCTGCCTAGACTAAGGATCTGGTCCAAAAGTGAACTCAGTTCTGAATCTCGCACTGTATCTAGGCAAACTGTGTGACACCGAGTGTTACAGCACAAAGCTTAATCATTTTGAAAGACAATACGGTCTATTCTCACTGTTTTAAATAAGGGTACACTGTTTAACGAACTGAGCATAGTAGAAAATGGGATGTCAAATAACCTTTGCACATTTTCATTATCGTACCTTCAAATGCTTTATGATCGGCATTCAATGCTGATTTGACTTTTTTGTTCCAATTCGCAGTTTCTTCACGACTGACATTTTTCCATGTTATGTAGCCATCATCAACTTTCCACAGACACAGTTCTCGACCAAGACTACAGTAATCTGTAAGAAGAGCCGGATTTTGTAAAGGCTTGCATTGAGCGTATTAGGATAATCAATATAAATGGAACCTATTTACCTAATTTGTATCAAAGAATTGGTTCATGCCTGGCGTGTGTATATGGAGGAAAGTTTGGAGAGCACGAAAGAAGCGCAAGCATCTATGGCTTCCTGAATGCATCCATAACTCAATATACGCACAGCTAAAAGTATGAAGCAATTCTCTTATAACGCGGCTAAACTCGACGGGAACTTGCAGCCGAAGTGAGACTGTTCAAGTCATGTTATTGATGCACGGCCGTGTGGTACATAAGGATTTTTACCATACCATCCTCTTAGGAAATAGGTAAAACTTGCGCCGGCAATATGTCATAAAATGAAATGGTTCAATTTATAGGAAAGCGGCATAACCACCACCACTCGTTCATGAAATATTCTGCAGAATTTCAAACTAAAAAAAGGTGCCCCTCTCTGCCAAAATGAGACCCAGAACGCATGATGTCGCAGTGCTCTTTTAAGGCTCGTTTCTTTTAAAGGACAATAACTACAAATTGTCGGCCAAATATCAAAAATTACCTTTGCAGAAGTCCCAGTGTAAGCCATTAAAATCGTAGAACAATTCTGTAGCGCACCATGGTCTTGGCTTGTCAGGCGTCGTAATACAGGAAGAATAGATTCTGTTTTTATATTCAAACGGAAAAGAACAGCATTTTCCACTTTCTGTTGTCCAAAGACATTTATCTAGAAAATGAAATAATGAATAATGACCTCTTCGATACCGGTGCCTTACCAAATAAGCTAATACGCCAACTTGGAGTTAGTCATAATTGATGAATGAACGACTGCGAATATATGAATATGATATATTTTAACTGCAGATTGATAAATAAAGACGAGAGTGATCATCGCAGTTCTGAACACTACATTAACAGTAGTGTAAAAAAGGAATTAGCACATTCGAACGCCATTTACTATTTTTGACACTTGTCCTCGTTTTGGGGAGTGGTGCACCACTAATCATTTTCATTTTTTTGTTAGTCCTGGGCTTCAATGATTTAACAGTTTCGTAAAAACTTGGATCATCATCTCTGTTGGCACTGATTATGGTAGGCTCTGGAGTGTTTGATTTTTTTGGCTGCATAACTGTCGTCTGTTACTTTTACCTCAGAGATGTCTCAGTAACACATTCGGTGAAAAAGTTCAGAATATTTTTTCGACACACCTACTTGTGAGCGTTTCCTAAAGGTTCTAAAAATTATTTGGATTTTTTTTATTCTTAAACGTCATCCAAATATGGTGATGGTGACTCAAGGCCAAGAGATCCACTAGTTTTTATTTGGTTTAGTATAACGTGAAGGTACGCGCGCCAAGAATAAGAAATCTTCCTTTGGCTCTGAGCCATAAAAATATGAGACAAAGATTGAATCTTGCCATCACAGCCACCAGCATCAAACTCATCGTCTCCAAAATAACACCACTGCCTGTCGTTATCGTCTCCTGTGCAGGAGTGATACAGAGTATTTTCATAGACAAAAGGGAATCTACAGCAGGTGTGGTAGCCGGTTACCCAGGTGCATATGTCTGAAGAAGATAGAAAGGTAAGTGACTACTCTATGTCAAGAACAAGATATCGACAACAGATGGGCAATGATACCACTTCACAAAATAAATAACGAATGACAGAAGACTTGAACTCATACAATTTTTCAAACCTTAAGTGATCAATTTTCTTCTCGTGTTAATCGAAAAAGCTAAGAGAATAAAAACCAAGGGTTTGCAATTTAAAATCTTCGAAAAAAGCGCCCTTACGTTTTCATTTTGATACCAGCCTCCTCGAATAGTAAGCCAGTTATATTTCTAAAAATTTATTTTGACCCACGAATTGAAAATTAGAGATTGTGTTCTGCTTATGTTTAATCACTCAATACTAATAATAATAATAGGGGAATATTGAGTCAACTTTCTTTCAGACACTTTCCTAAAGCTGGAATCAAATACTTTCGTCGTAAAGGGCGAAGATTAACTGATTCGTAAACCTAACGCTAAATTTCCATCAAAACATCACAACGTTGCGTTGGTTATTGTTGCCACTTATGCAAAAAACCAGAGGCTCCTTGGAAATGAAGATTGTTAAGCACCCAATTGGACAGATAGACGGATTTTTGCAACATTGCTAGTCCCGAAAAAGCATTCGCGAGACAACTTAGGAACTGGTTTACTCTTTCCTACTGTGGTAAACGAATGTTTTAGCCAACTCACAAAGCAAAGCGAAACAAGACATACCTTTCCCCTCATCGTTCGGAATAGCGTTACACTTCTCTCTGGAAAAAGATATGTCATCAATGCCCAGGAATACAACCTCGGCAGAATCTAGGGTTCCTCTAAACAAGATCTGTTATTAAAACAAGGACCAAGAAAAACGGTATTTGAGATGCTAACCTTATTTGACCTTGAGTTACTTTTCGAGAAGGAAAACTTTGCGAACAAATTTCGAATTCAGTTGAATTACGGCCAAGATTAAGGTGGATATGTCAGTCCAAGCTGTTCTACCAGTTTACCAAAACTACGGTCAATAGGCTTCTGATGAGGTAAATAACTACAAGCATGGCAACTCTAATTGCGTGACCAATTAATAAAGATCTGAGTATCACAATTTCGAAGTTATTATCAAGAGAATTTTACGTAACAGCTATATATGGAATTTTTAATAGTTTGTCCTCAAAGCGCTCAAATCTAATTAAACTGCAAACAATAAAACAATCATTTTAAAGCCCAGTGATTTCCGCTAATTTGCCGGACTTAATTGTGGTAATAAATTTTTGTACTTCTTTATGTTTACCTTAAAGGGACTGTCCCTGTGGTGAAGAGGCAGCTGCACATACGTCCACCGGTTTGTACGATAAGAAGTGGACCACAGAGAAGTGACATCACTGCTATTATCAGGGTGAAGAGCAGAAACGTTGAGTTCCACCACTTTCTCATTGGTATGCGTCCTCTTCTCCTCGCCAATGAAATACCAAAATGTTAAGCACCGCCATTCCTCTGCTTGGGTTAGCTCTTTTGTTATCAAGGTTCTACTAATTAATTCAGCGCGATCTGTTTTGAAGTAGAGGAATTTACCTGATGAGGCAAAGAAAATTTTCAAATTCAAAAAAGCACCTAAAAGCGTTACACAATGTGGAGTAGAGACAATTAAGCCATTAGGTAATTTGGTTTTAGAGGTTTTTAGTTAGGATCATGGTCACATACCTTCGACAAAAAATGGTGCTTGAAAAGATTCTTCTTTACCTAGCCTTTTTTTTCCAGCTCAGATTAAAACATATGTCAATCGAGTTGTTTCTTATTACTGTTGGGTTTACCATTTTATCTCCATTATCAATACAATCCACCTTTTTTGTGAAATTCGAATGCTTATGATAATCATTAAGGTGTTTCCTCTCATCGCCCTCTACATTGATGATTTGTAATTTTAAGCTAAAAAAATCAACGAGCAGATGAATTCTTAACAAGTTACTTCTCAATACCATTGTTTACAGTGCTCTCTATCTTCCAGTCGTTTTCCCCAGTCCAACCACACAGTCCATTTTCAAAGTAGCAATCCAGAGTTTCTGAAGAAGGCATAAAATTTATTTTAAAGAGGTAATTTAAAGAAAAATATAACTCAGTAATTCCTAGGGTGGGATTAACCTCCCTTAAATTGCCACATCTACACAATATTTTATTATTCCAATTTAGTAAATAAATAAAAATGTCCGGCAATTAGGTTCATAGGGAATAGGTTTCCCCTTAAGAACTTAAGAATAACGTAACGCCAACGAAACTCAACATCGCGCGCGAGATCTGGCAACATGTATTCTGGGTCAGCATTTTAAGGCAATGAGTTGCGTACCTAAGTGAATTTTTTAAACATATTTTGCAGTCCCATTTTGACTTTGTACCTTTTTCAAGTTAAGCTTACCCTGTTTAACGATTTTAATGCAGCTTCCAGTTAAAACAGTGATGTCATCAATAGCTATATCCCCTGAGCTTCCACCTCCAATCACACCTTCTATTAGGATCTAAAATTAAGTATACAGTGTTAGCATGGCGTCTTTAATCATAAAAATTTTAGGTTTTATCATAAAATTCCTGTTATCTGAACCCTATATAGCGTGAAGGATATCCATAGCAATTTTGAAAAGATTTGAAATTATTTAGCCTAAATGGCTGAATAAAATGTTTACACGCTACTAATCTAGCGTTCTCTGTTTTTATGTTCTTGGTTCCTCTACGCTTTCTAACAAATTACTCAAAATTGAAATGTAATTTGTCATCCCATCTCTAATAACTCCTGAAAAATATGTCGATGCAGCGAAAGATGAGCAGCTTTTATCAAATGGACAGAAACTCTTTGGAATTTTATAGGAATTGGTTGACGGAATAGTCTTTTTTCCTACTAAGTAAATGAAATGAAAATAGAATTGATGAAATAACCGAGATTTTTCTTGTGATTCTTTTTTATGTGTCGTCAATGTAAGTGAAACGGTTGAGTCATTGAGTATATAAATTACTTAACATTGCGATTATGGAAAAGTACTTTGAAAATATAGTCTCCAAGACAATGAAGTATTCTATTTGCACGCAATATTGTTTCACCTGAAATTGTCTTTCATGACCTCCTGAATTTATAGGAACTTGCGCAAAAATCCATCTATCTCCCTGGTTCCCATGTTGACTCCAAACCTTTTCTTCTAATTTCATTGCTCCAATGTAAATGTTAAGAGACCCTATATCTTCTCCATACATGTGGTACCAAAACTGAAGACAAAGTTCTGGAGCATGTAGGAACCAGCCGCTTTGTAATCGCGCTTTATCGCCAGCTTGTCTGTTTGATGCTTCGATATAAAGGTAACGGCCTAAAAAATAATTTTTATTTTTTAGTAAGCCCTTTAACTATTAATCTTCTCTTTAATTTTGAGAGCGAAATGCGTTCATGAATTGTGAGTAACCTGACGCGATATGGGACGAAATTATTTAAGATTGACAAAACTAGCCAAAGATACATCAATTAAATTTTGATGAAGGTTATCTCCTGCACCACTTAGAACAAGTGAAATGGTCCTGACACAATCTCTTCACTCAAGTTGATCTCTTCAATAATGTGCAGGTTAGTAGACTTCAGGTCTAAGATTCCAGTGGTAAAAAATGGGCAATAACCTTCGGGTTAAAGTACACGTCTATCTGCTGACATAACACCTGTTTTAAATCTGAGAATTTTCTTGCTTAGCTAACGCTGAATCTGCTTTAAAACGAACTCTAAATTTTTTCGAATAACATTGTTCTAGGAACTCTGAACTCTTTATGAAATTCCAAATGTGAAAGATTTTCCTGTCAATTATAATTCTTATTCAGATATATATATCTATAAATATGAGATGTAAAAACACAACACCTTGGTCTGATAAAGTGGTATGGTCAAAGGAAGGTCCCGTGCCTTCTGATGGGGTTCCTCTAATTTCTGTCGTCCACTGAAATTCACTGTTAATACCATTCTGAAATCCACACAAACCATTCTGAAAACTGCATGGTCCTGAAACAGAACCGAGCGGGAAACATATTCTTTGAACTTTAGGAAGGGATAAGAAGCAAGTGTGATAATGTTTGTATACGTCCTCCCTAAATAAAAGAAGTTCAAAGTGAGCTCACTGATTCAGAGTAAAAATAAAAGATTCTGACTGTTTGGCTCTTTTCTAAATACTTGTATGCTGTTTAAAATCGTTTAAAAAGAAATTTACATTTAATAGGAGAAAAAAGAAAAGTTTGTAGTGACCTTGATAAGAAATGAAATACCACGTGAACAGAAGAGTTTAAGTTTGAAATATAGTGGCAAAATTGATGGTAAGTTCAGCGTCACTGACTTATGTTCCCTTCTGACTATTTGATTCTAGACAATTCTTCGTTCGCTTATGTACAGCTACCAATTAAGGGTAATCAGTTTATACTTATTTCATCACTTACTATTTCACATGTTAAAACTGGGAAATAAGCGTGGTCTGAATAACCTCTAATAACGCGACTAAATTTGAGTTTTTCTCTTCTTGCCATTACGAACATAAGATTTAGTCTAAATCTGAGCCAAAGTGCAACACAATATCGCAATAATTTTAAGTTTTAGTATTGCAAGAAGAAATCTGTATTCCATCACGGTCCAACTGTTGGCCGACTTTAATGAAATATCAATTACAAAAACTCAACAGCCATCTAACAGCAAAGTATAGAATGAACGAGAAAATAATTGTTAAAAAAAACGCTGTAATAAGGCAAGACTTGGTTTTCACATTTATTACAATCCTCCGTCCTGCACTTTTTCACATTTTTACCTCGAAAAGGAATCTGACAAGCGTCTTCCTTATCCTTCTTCGCATCCCCTGTTTGCTTTGAACAAGCTAAGTCATTCAGCGGGCATTCCGTCTTCCCTTTAAATAGCAAGTGACCGTAAAGTTTTATTTTTAAAAGAAGTAGGTACACGATTCAACTCTCTTTATCATAATTATATATCAGTTCAATATTCATTTTATTTTAAAAAGAACTATTATGATTATTGATAAAAGTATCGTCATCCTCAGATCTGAAATCCAAAAACCCACATAACTTGAATAAATCCAAATTTTTACTTGGCTAAAATTTAGTCAATTGTGAGCAGTGTGCATATTTAGAAGCTCATTTTGATTTCCTGCGATTACATCGAGCTTTGTTTTATCAGTAATCACATGGCAAGAAATAAGATATCAAGACACCGTTGTAAAACTTACCACAAATGGCAGAAAAATGGCTGCTGTCAGCACAACCTTCCGTTTTTTTACATGTCTGGGACCAAGAGATCGCCTTACCGTCAAAACAAGGATACTTGGAATTCGGGTTCACTTGAGAAGAGAAAAAACAAAAACAAAAAGTGGGCTTTAAAGCTAAAAAAATGATTTGCCAGAACAAAAAAATTAATAAATTAATAAATAAATACTTTTTTCTTTTGTACCTACATGAACATCGTTTCCTTTCATGCATATTATGCTAGAATCATCGAGCAGATCAGCATGCATTTAATATGTAAGTTATGCCAAGCTCAAGGGAAGAATGACTACTGTTCTTTTGACGTACGTCCGAGAAATCAAGGCTTTACTGAAATCCAGAAAATTTAAGATATTGACGAGGAACAATTTTTGCACCAACCCATTTTACCTCCTCCTTTCTTTTCATCTTGCCCGTCAACACAGTCCTGTTTGCCATCTCGCAGTTTTTCTGGAGGCAGGCATTTCCCCGAGGAACACCAAAACTGGCCGTTTAGACATTGGCAGTTTTCCTCATCAGATCCGTCCAAACAATTCAAGTCGCCATCACATCTTAGGACACTTTTAATGCATTGCAAATTTTCACACTGGAATTCTTCTTTGCTACAGCTGTGACCTGCAAAATGATAACATCCCATGGAAATGGTAGTCATATGGAAACAATTATGCCCTCCGAAAATTAACTTATTTGTAGCAACCCTCGCCCAAGCGTTTCAGCCAATGTTGGTCCTATTCCGGTGTAAATCTGGAATCTTGAGGCTGCTTAAAATTCAAACTGTACAACGTTACTCTGACCGGTTGTGTTGCATTCATGATTTTAAATACAAGATTAACTACTAAGTAACTATAATTTACTCAAGTTGATGAAATAAATTTATTGAACTGTATTACAAACCTGGCATGGCGAACAAAGGGAAAATTTCACAGTAGTTGGTGATAATTTTTACTTCCTGAATTACAGCTGAAGCTTTCCCGTAGCTAGTTGCCTTAAGCTCAATCTAAAAAAAATTGATTAAAACTAAAAATTACAATAAAATGATCGAAGGGCTTAGATTTAAATAAAAAGGACTAAATCAAGGCAAATAAGTTTCATCCACAATTTAATGAAACCATTTATATGTTACTGACTGAAGTACACAACAATGTATTCCATGTTTTCCGTTAACGTAATTTTTTTTATGTTTTTTGGTGGATATGAATTTCAAGGAAGTAACAATTTTGTACTTTACAGGGTCGAAAAAAAATAGCTATCATGTGTTTTTAACTTCAACCGGTATCTTGATATACTGTACGACGGAAATATGATTGCGAGTTATATAAGCTTTCAGCCGCCGAACGGATTGATTACAAAAAATCCTACTTTTGACATTTAATTCGTCAAATGACATGGTACTTATTTACCTACAGGAGCTTCTATTGCCTTACATTCCTCCGAAAACATTGCGCCCCTCTAGTAAATTTTTACTTGTAACACCAAGATGTAATCTAAGGATTTATGGTCAAAGAGCTTTTTGGTATATAATACATTCTATTCATATAACATGGAATTCCTTTCAGGTAGATATGAGGAGGTGCATGTCGTTGACCATTTTTAAATCTATCCTCAAGACTTTTCTTCATGAACATATTTTTAGTGGATGTGTTGCATATTTTTAATAATGTGGCTTAAACCTTTCTTTTAAATGTGTTTTTACCAAGACATTCTGCTCTTAATCATTTAATTATTTAGCTTTCAATGATGTCATATGCCGTCGGATACTTTGTAGAGACGACGATATAAAAATTTATTTTATCACATAAACTGCGGTGCTATACAAGGATTTCCGGCCCTGAGAAAAGCCGTAACAACATACGTGAAAAAATATCGTATTTTTTCCACATGTGTTGATATAGCCAATCAGCTGCTGATACGTCACTCGCCTTTGGCGCCACCCGGTCAGGTTGATGAATGAGCGGCAAAGCCTTCACGGTTCTCAATGCAAGGTAGTTTGTCGGAACTTTCTCGGATTATGGCGGCTAAAACACTAAAAAAATCCGTATCGCTGACAGACAGTGCCGTTCAAACTTTCCTAAAAGGGGAAAAAACCAATACACGAAAAGAAAAACCGAAAGTTACGTATTCAGTGGCTTTGGTGTTGGCATTTCTCGTGGCTGGGAATGAAAATCGACAGCTGAAAGATTTGCCACTGGCCGATTTTGGCCGTTTACCTGAAAGACTTCTTTTGTCGGTAAGGACAAAGTCACTAAATGAGAATTTTGTAAATGGAAAATTACGACCACTGTTGTTTTTGTAATCATGATTCAACGCATTTTTCCATATTAAGAGGTGGCGCCAACGCACTCTACGATTGTTATTCGGGGACTGTCGATTCATTTATTTTCATTCATTAATAAATGAATGTCACCTTTTCTTATCAGTAAAGGGCTATTGTGTTTATATGATAAACAAAATAATACATGGTTGCTTGTAGGTATGAAATTTCTCTTCTCGTGTTCAACTCGACATCTCACTCGTTCGCTGCGCTCACTCGAGAGCTATAGAGTTAAACACTCGTAGAGAAATTCCACATTCACGTGCGCCCACGTATCATTCTCTATATATTATTATTATTATTATTATTATTATTGTTACCATGACGTCTTTTTTGGATTCCCACGATACGAAGCCTCGTGATGATTTGTTTCCATGGTATCCTTGAACTCTCCAAAGCAGAGCCATCTGTTCCTCGTTACCGACGAAAACTTCCAGGGTAGAATTTCTTCCTTCTGTTGTTGTGCCTGGTAAGATGTACTTAAATTGCAAACACGAATACGTTTCTTTAAATGACTCTTTCCAAGGCATCTTTGGACTTTCAAGAGAGCCCTCGCTGACACCCAGTAAATAAGCACCTTGGTAATCTGAGAACAAACATAGACAGTTGAACCAAAGTTTTTCCAAATCTGATGCAACCTAACCGTGAGAATTAAGCTCAAAAAGGATGTGAGATAAACAAAATGTGACAATGATGATAAAAATAATCGTTATGGTGGAAGGTAATGAGTCCCTTTGGTTTCTTAATAGTGCCAAAAGTCGTCTCTTACGAAAGAAAGTTTAAAAAATTGTCCGGAATAAGGAATTTTCCTAGTTTGCTGTCGATTTGTACAACTTTTAAACCTCTCCTGAAAACTCATTTGCCAGAAATAACTCTCTTCAGCGACAGTTTCTAGCGTCATTGGAAAGGTGGAAAAGATACGACATGATAAAATAATAGTTTCTGTGCTCTCAACACTTGCTTTGTAATGACCTAACGAGGGCTTACTTGACATCATATCATGTTGAAAGCAATTGTTTTCAATGCTAAGTGTTAACAAGCAGATATCTATTACCTCCTCCTGTTTTCCACGAAGATCCGTTTGTGGTCTTTTCTTTCCATTGACAGAGATCATTAAAAAAACTGCATTGACTTAGAACCGCAGCTAAAAAAATGAAAGTATGGATTAACCCTGAAAGTCTTACTGAGAATTCCCAGTAAACGTCAAAAGTCTTATAGCATAATTATCGTATCTGGTATGGCCTTTAAAATTATTACGCCACAATTGAAATCTTAATCGTCAATATCATTATGGCTTTTACTGTTGGTTGTCGTTATGATTACGACTACGACAGTTATGTTGCTTGAATGTTACTTCTTTCAATCAAAAGAGAATAGAAGACCAACCTGTCATGGATACTTGAGCAATTTCAAGGTGTTTTGTGGCATTTTCATCAACAAAAGAATACTGGGCCTGAGTAAAAATACCAAAACTTCATCAGTCTTGAGGTATGATTTAGAACTACATTTTATCCAGACTGTTGTTTGTTGCCAAAAAAGTCATCATGATTGAAACTGAACAACTTATCTCAATGCAGATATCTAACTAACGATATTCTGTTCACTCCATGTTTTTGGGTGTTCAATTATTAATTTCACATCAGCTCCTTTGAACACAACAGTAAAATGCTAGTGGCATTGCTAATGTATGAAAGATGCTTCTTACTTTGCGGAAAAGTGCTGTTACCTTTTTTACTTAGCGAGTACTTAGTGAGCAGCAAAGCTTTACTTAATGACTACAGAAGCGAAATTTGATATCAATGTTTTGATTTTTATCGAAGTTTGGGTCTTTTTACTGATAAAGATGTGTATTCTAAACAAGAAGGTAACATTCAAGGTTCAAAGAATGTTATTTATATGCACGTTAAAATAAAATAGCATCTTTGGATAATTGTCCAGGTTCACAGAAAGGCCCACATAATTTCATGTAAGGAATTGTTAGTCAAGTTGCAATAGTATATTAAAGCTCTACTTAATCGAAACTGAAAAAAAAGCACTGAGTTATATGGGAAACAACATGTTTGCTCACCTGAATGCTGTAGAATCCAGGTGTTACGTCTGCTTCTAGTGAAATATTGAATGAATTTTCTCGGCAATTCATTGACAGAGAGGAATTGATGATGTACTCGGTGTAAAACACCGATATAGCCACTCTAAGATCACAGTCTGGACAGAAAATCCCTTGACAGCAGTATTTGTAGGAGCCTATATTTGTATAGAATTACATGAACAGGATATTTTCGCAAATCTTCTTGGTTACTGTTTGTGTTCATGTCTAGAGGAATCCCTATAGACTTCTTTTTCCACCTATTTATTTAAACAGAATCAACAGAAACATTCCAAAATTGAAAGGACTTTAGCAGGCTAAACGGATGTTTTGAATCAACTTTTGCAAATATGAATAACTCGAAATCATACAAAAAAATAACATCCTCCTTTCAACTCTATGTTATAGTTATTGTTTTGATAAGCAAAATAGACGCTTTAATACCATCTATGATCGGCGTGATGTTGAATAGCAAAAAAAAGTGTCTGGAAAGAAATTTCTTCACCAGTAAATTTAGCTAAAAATTTTAATTCTTTCTTTGTTTACATCAAGGCTCTAAAGTTTTATTGGTAAAACAAAAACATTTTCAGACGTCTTGCACTGCAGTTTTCCAGTGAACTGAGCTGATAACTGAGCTGTATTTGAAAAATCATGTTAAAGCCACTTTAACTCTTCGGATATGAGGCATCTGTGCAAACCTGCTATTGATATGATAGATCCAACTTCCGCCGTAAATTTATTACCGGGCTCGAATCGTATGTTGCTGAAGACGAGGCTCCGCTCACCTAACACAGGATGCAAAAGTAATTTAAAATTCATATCAGTTCAATGGCTCTGATTGGTTTTGACATTGTGTAATGTCTTGCTATAATCATCATTTCCAATATAACTATGCGAAAGCTTTTCCCCTTAAATATAGAATATAGACTTCCACAGGAATTTGTCCTTATTGAATAGAACTACCAGCAAGACCTTAGAAAATACCACACCTTCAACTTAAAATTACTGGGCCCCAATAGACATAATTCCTTTTATGTGTCACAAAAATCAAAGGCAACGAATGAGATGGATCCTCATTCCTATATTCAAATGAAAACCTCATTTGAAATAAAGCTAAAACCAAAAAGTGACCTTCCCCGTTGCTTCCCTGGCATCTAAGGTGAATTTTCACGCTGTAAGTTTCGGAAAGAGAGCACTTTATCCTCTCTTGGTCCCAAAAAATGTTACCTGTATCAATCAAACATCACTTACTACTAGGTGAAATCTTAAACAAAGCAAAAGGTCAAACCTGTTTTTAGCCAGAAGAGATTTTTGGCGTAAACAGGTTTTTGTTCTTCCCCATTAGGAAACTTGATTCCAATAGACAAGTGATCTTCGTTGACATACTCCCTCATAAAGACCTCAATGTTATAAAGATGACAACGAGAAAGATATATGGGTTGTGAAATTTGCTTGCTGAGCGACCTGCGAAAGCAAATTGACATTAAAGACAACTTGATTTATAACAGAAATAGGAATGAGTAGAGTTCAATTCGGCCTGTAATCATGCAAGTGGAACTCAAACAACCATAGAGCACATATGGGTCAGATTTGGCAAAAGACAAGTAATGTTTTTTTTTTATTTCCCAGAAAGAAATCTTAATGGAAAAATAAATAAAGTTTCCTGCGTAGATTGACTAGACTTTTAATAAGCAAAGTTGAAATTTTGTGAAACAAGTAAACTGAGAAAACTTCAAAACTAAGAACACAAAATGGTTGCAATTAACTATCAGCAGGTTTGAGGAAAGAAAAATGAAACCGTTATCCTGATTTGCTTGGAGTTAATAACTAAAATACGATACACGAAACAATTGTGAAACAAAAGTTTAGAACTATTTACAAAACAGAAGCGGAAAAAATTCTCCCCGATGATTTACTCTAAGATTATACTGTGAGCATACCTATCCCACGTCAGACGCTCTAAAGTCTTCATATCAACCAGCTTTATCAACATTTTTCTTTCGGACTGACCAGCCCCCAACCCTTCTAGATCTTCAACGCCATCAAACCACAACTCGCATTCATCATTGCACGTCATGTAAAATGTGTGGTAGCCAGAATCAGTGACCTGAGGTGAGAAATGTTGAATATGTTTATTATAACCAGTAAAAAATTGTACGACTGCTTTTCTGAATGACTAGTCTTTCCCATGGATAAGTGGCTTAATTAAATTCCCTGAGTAATTATTGTGATATTTCTTTGTGATATTTCGCGTCTTTTTAACTCTTCTTCCATGGCATATTGAAAAGAAAAATCTGATGTATGTAAAAGCAAAGAAAAGCTAAACAAGACTAGACAGTTTATCTTTTTATTTATCTATCCATTCCTTCACTTATTCCTTTTGATTTGCTTATGTTTTTGTAATTTCTGTAGTCGATATTATGGAAGGCGGATAAGTTTTTGCTAAAACGTTAGGAAGCACATTGTTATGAAAAACCTCATCTTTCCTTGAAGCGTGTTTACACTAAATTGTAACAAAATAACCACATTGCTGTAGCATTGGTGTTATTGTTATTATTATCATCATCGTTGTTATTATTAATTTACCTTCATGTAAGCATTTAGTTTCTGAGCATAAAATTTTCCTAAATTGACCGTTGCATCCATTCTTGGAATTATATTCCAAAGGTCTCTCTGTCTGGTGAAAGCACTCAGGTCTCTAAGAAGAAGTGGGTTTTCGTCAGCTGTTTCTGAAAGCCAGACCTCTCGAAGTACTCCTTTTGCATTTTCTTCTGTTTCTACGGATGACAAGGGTCAATTCATAGCACATACTTTTGAGTGCGAGAGAAATTTAGGAAAACATATGAGCCAAGCGTATTTAAACCCGGATTAATTGTTTAGCTCTTAGGTGTTAGTGTTAGAGATAAGAAGGGAAAACAAAATGCGAAGCGATATCACATCTCCTGAATTGTGTGCTTCCTCTACTTATTTCAAAATGACCCGGGCCACAATTGCATTGGTTGGATATTTCCAAAAAGTTGTAGCAGATTATAAACTAACTACGTGCGAAATAGTGAGGGACGTAGTGAAAAACAACGAAAAGTTTGAACTAACCGAATGCCAAAACACTGACATGGCACAAAACCAGCGCTGTGTTCAATTTGGACCCTTTGATGTACAGGGTGTCACCTCTCACTGGAGGAATACATTGATACTCCAAGTACGAAGAGTTCCCCTTCTTTGTACACACAGAAGTGGTAGATTCACCATTCCGATTGCGTGAAATGATCGACACTGTGAGAGGTTCGGGGATACTTGTGTTCTTGGGATTTTTTATGGTCACTTTGTAGATGTAAAACCATTTCACTAGCTTTATTTCGAGCCATGGACTCTCTTCCTAACCACAAATGTTAGGATAATATCAGTAATGCGTTTTGTATCATTTTTATTTTCTTGAGTATCTCTTCAGTTTTAGGCTGTAACTGTGCTATAGTCGAACCAGTAATAAGTGCTCGGTTGCCTATGTCCCAAGTTGATTTTCCCTACTCGTTGTATTTTTACCTCTATTGAACAGACACCCCTTTTAAGCAGTCGTGGTCACTTTTGAGTGAGTCCCAACCGCCTGTTTTTATTGTCTTCCACCTGTACTGAATAGTCACTTAGAGCGGAACTACTCGAGTAAAACTAAGGATAATCTTCGTAGTAAAGTTTAGTCCATGTTTTCATTCACAAAATTTACGTAAGTAGGATTTTTGAGCCAGTATTTGTGCATTAAGTGGTACCCCTCTTCTGTGGAACCTGTATTAAGCGGTCATCCAGCCACTCCAGTGGGTGACCGCTCCATTAAGGTTTGAGTGTATTTTGGTAAACGATATGATTGGCTGGTCCACGCCAATAACCGCGTCACCAAGTATTTACCACTTGAATGGTGACATAGCTACAAAACTTTCTTTCTACTGTAATTTATTAGCAATCTTAATCCTTGAGAAACGACGGTGTAATGGTGTTCACTTCGTTAAAATATACGAAGATATGTATATGCATTCTGTTCTCTTACCACTTTAGAGGAGAAACAAGTTGTGAGATTGTCATCGACTACAAATGATGAATTGCTTCCTGTAGCCAAACTTGAATGGTCCGTCAGACTTCCAAATGCAACATTTCCTACAACGGCTGAAATAAAATATAAAGGACCAGAAGATTGAAAGGCCATCCAGTATTTGCCGATAATTTATTATATGGTTGACTTCTGCATTGTTTCATTGTTCACACTACTATTTCATAAGGGCACTTAAATTGGTTCATGTCTCGCACTCGCGTCGTTTGTGACATCTAAAAGAAATCAAACAGGCTTGACATTTGTCGTCATGACCATTCTTGGTGCTATTTCTGTCCGCCTCGCAGTTCACGTACCGTAATAAGCAAGTTGAGCCTGATGAACACAAACGGACTGTTTGGGTGCAGTTTTGGAAAGGACGTTGAGGCCTTTTCAACATTGGTTAAATTAACGGAAGAAGGATGAAAAAGAATTTCTCGGTACTGATAGAGTCTTGTACTTAAGTTCTTTTACCAAATCCAAGATATGAACCGGTTAACTTACCTTGAGCACTTTGACAGGCGTAGGCATAACCATTGTTGCACCCCACATTTATAATGTCAGGAGTGTACCCAGAAAACGCTATACAATTTTCTTCCTTATCCCTTATCTTGGGATATCCAGCTCGAAACAGATATGGGTCAATTGATATTCCATCAATCCATGACCAGCTGCTCAAATTCCTTACAAGCCCGACGAAGAAGCTATATGGCCACTTCACCGTTGATAGAAGTGAGGCGACTCTTTCAAAGTTTTCCTTAGTGTTGATAACCGCTAAGCTGCTGTTTTGGGTTAAGCAGTCCCACTGGGCATCCTCCCAAATAAGACGAAGAGAGGTGACTATCTTATAGCAGCGATCCTCTGCTAATGAATACCCTTGTTTGCAGGTTCTGTTGGCTAAAAAAATTGGTCTATGAAGTCTTTTAGCCTCAATACTCCTCAGTTCATTAAGACACTCTTTAAACTTGCAATGTTTCATTGACAACGACAATTTATAGAAACAATCCCTAATACTTACTCAATGGAGACTCGCATATGTAAGCCCTTCTTATCTTATTGCAGGGCCTTGCTGCTAACCACCAACCACAGCCTCTGTCAAACCACCTCTTTCTGAAATCCTCGATCACTCCACATCTTCCATGAATTGTTTTTGGTTCTCCGCTCCCCCAGAGAGCTGGATTAACCTCAGTACCGTCAAGCCATTTCCAATGAGGGTTGAAATACTCCCGTGATCCTAAAAAAAGAGGTCTACGGATACTAACTCTAGCTTGGTAGTACATGGATAGTAGTCCGTTTAAGTCTGCTTTATCTCGTACGATCATGAGGTCCGCTCCTTTCTCGTTACATTTCTCACGCGCCTTTCTCCAAAAGGTCACTCCAACTTCATCATCATAATCGAGACGAGCTGGATCCTTTTTCATGAAAACGCAACTGCTTTTTAGACGGAACCACCCAGAAGGACACCATCCTTTTCGCACTAAGATAAGAACAATAGAGATTAATGAAGCAACAAACGTTCATTTAGCTTTTTTTTTCTTTTTTTTTTCAGTAAAGAGAGCTTGTAGATGGAAACTAATTCACATTTAGAATATGAAAGGCCAAATTCCGATTTGGAAGGCGTAACTTCAAGTTGTAAAAGTGACGTTATCTTTATGGGAGATAATTTGTTAGCGTGCAACACAAATATTTAGGACAGGGTTTACGCTAGACAGTAATTGTCGTCAAGGCCTTTTTTCGTCTTACCCCCCTCATATTTCGCCTTCGGGCGGATAGTACAAAGCATTGCATCAATACATCTCGCAATCGTGGCCCAATGTTAACAAATAAATGCTAAGTCATATGCAAAAGATGAAAGTGGGATCTAAAAATGGTTTATTCTAATGCTCTAACTCTAACATCTAAATTAGATGCTATCACCACTCTATCGGAATTGCAGTAAACTTTAAGCTCATCAAAAACGTTGTAAATTCACTTAAATCTATTCATCTACATGACCTCCACACACATAAGGACACTCTTTCGCGATAAGAAGCTAAAAGAGGGAGTATATTAATTAAAAATGAGATTAAGAGCTACCCACATTCGCAGTATTCCCGTTGTCCGTCTTGCGTAAAATTGGAAGTTGTGGCACACCAGGGTCTCCAGGCTGACCCATCAACCGTACACTCGTTGTATTGTGTGCCATTGTACTCAAATGGAAACACGCAACACTTTCCCGATGGAAGGAGAAATGTGGAACACCCTTCTGTTGGTTATGTAAATTGAAACGAAAAAGGTCAAGACATTATTTTCGAACCTGATTGTTCAGCAAAAAAAAAGATTGAAATCAGAATTATACTAAAGTAGTTTGGTCATGTGCTTTGTTGTTGACTACAAATTAATTCAATGTACCTTTGGTCAGGCTTCTTGAAATCCATAAAGCCCAATTTTTTCTTGTTGATTTGAAATTTTTACTCCTTTTATTGATTGTAATGGTTTGTTTGAGCTGTGTGCAAAGGCATATTTGCATTCATGCTCTCCTGTCGTTAAGTTTCCTGTTCTACAAAGCTGATGTTGTCCCTTGCTGCGAGTGGTGTTTGCGTATCTCCGTCGTTTCTTTCGTGCTTTTCTTTGACACCGCATAAAGATTTTCACTTTATGCTCTCCTCTACCTGATAGCTTTTTGTCAATAATGATGTAAGGTTCCCTGTTTTTAGTTGGTTATTGAACTTTTCCTTTAAAGAAAAAAATAATTGCCCCAAACATATCTCGAAGTCTTACTTCTCCTTCATTCTCATGCGCCTAGACTTTTTTAATTGAATTTCATATTTTTAGAAGCGGGATTGAAAGATGGGACTCAACTATTGTATAACTAGATAACTTGCGCTGTTGGAAATAATCTTTTTTAGATCTATCAATTTTAATCCTTAGTTAATTCTTTTCTTTAATTTTACTCACTTGTAGCTGAGAAGGTAGTCACTAGAGACATGGTTATAATGACAACACTTTGAAAAACAAAGCAAATCTGGTGACCACTTGGCATTTTCAATTATTGGCTGCTTCAATTCGCTGAAAAAAAAATCATAACAATTATATGCAATATAGAGCTGTTGATTCAGCTCTCTTCAGTTGTTTTGGCTTGTATTAAACATCACAGTTGGTTTCACCGCCAACTCTAACAAAATAGAGAATCCCTTTTGGCACCTGTTTCTCCTAAGAAAAGCGATTAAATTTATCCGTGAAAGATTTCTATCACCGAGAATTGGAGGCCGATTAAACGAAGGCTATAAAAAGTGTGAAGAACGAAATAAAACTCAATTCTGTCGCTTAACACTATTTAAATACCATCGAAAATCCTACTTCGCAGTTTATTATTTTATAATTCCAGGCTGTTGCTCTAATGTGAAAATAACTTTCTTGGGGAATTTCCACTATCAGTGAGCTTCAGATCAATAAGCAAAAAAATTCTGTCATGCAAAGGAACACGACGGTGTTGATTACGCTGAAAATCTGTAAATTACATTATCATATTAACAAATAACCTAGTCAGTCTTTAATCAAATTCGTTCCTTCAAGTCACCTGCTACAACACAGTTGACATTTTTGTCATGGCGGTCACGTAGCGCGTTGAAAGTTTGTGGAGACATTTTATGTAATGATTTCCAACATTATCCATTTCTTTTCACCTTGCTAATTCTTAATACTTTTTTTTCGTATTTACATTGTTTCATCTATCATCTCTTTCAAGGTTCACACGAAGAAAAAAAACGAAGAGCGCATCGAGATCTTCGCATTTACACTCGAATCTGATTCATAAGCAACAATTTTATATGAATGCATACGTGACCAGGTCCTTTTTTGCTCATACCTACTGTTTGCAACTTGGGAGTAAATATAGTTTTCCATCAGAGGGTATTACAAATTAGAAACTTTAAATTGAGTAATTTACCTTTGAGTTTCTTATCGCTTGTGATACTGAAAAGAGTGGAAGAGTAAGTGTTGAAGGCGAAACACGATAGCTTGTTTCTTTAAAAGCTTTCCTGCATCTCGACGCAGCCTTTCATATTCCGGGTTCAGCTTCAAGATCTGTAGGTTTTATATTATTTCTTTCGTTCCTTGTCACAAACTAAAGCTACGCCTTTCCCTATAGATACCAGGATTAGACCTCTGATAAGAGCACAAGTAACGGACAAGCTTTTGACAGCTCCATCTGACTGACGTAAAAGGTGATTATCACTTGGGAATGAAAATGTTGAAAAATACGTCACTTAGCTCACGCAATCATTAAATTTAGAAGAATTCCTCACTTCTTGGAAATCTGTAGTTTTTAGAACGAAAGCACAGTAGTTTTGCTTAATGTAGTCAAACTCTTCGGTCTTTTTCCAGTCATAATTCATGATTAATCAGTGTATAGGAAATATTGTTCGCGTAGGTAGTAACTCTTTGTGTGGCACGTGAGGAAATAAAAATAAAAATGAAACAAAGATAAACTTTTAATTCGTGTGTGCATTGAAAATGGATTGATGCCAAGAAATCCTCGGAACTTTTAAACTAATAATTAATCGAGTCCAGATTACTTTCAGCATGTTGTGTATGGAGGCTTAAAGTTATTTAATTTTCACACAAAAAAACCGAAATTGATAATTTTATAAATTTCTTAATAAGGCACATTAGCATGCTAGGGTGACGAGCAGATGGGTCTTCATAATGTACTAGGTTGAAAGATAACTTGCTTCAATTTTCATTGTACAAGTTGAGTGATTAAAATCATTTAATGCTTGCTTAAATTAAAAAGTCTGCAGTAAAGTTGGATTTGTCGTCTTATAAAACACCTTTAAAACAACGGAGTTTCATAATAAGAAAAAAAAAAAGAAAGTTTAGAAATATTTGGGAAAATTTGAAATGTTGTGCCCTCCTAAATGAAAATCATAACGAAAATATATATATTTTACTAAAGATCTATTCGTTTTACGCTTTTTATTATACATACAAAGAAGTCGACATTTGTTTTCCTCTTTAAAAAAACGGTAAATTTTTTTCTTTAAAAAAAGCTGTCTTTTAAAAGACGAGAGCGTTGACATCAATCTTACATAAAATTCAGAAGCTTCACTCTAATTTTGAATAACCTTAAAATAACAGTGGCTTTTTACTGCTAAATCTGAGTAATCGTCTTTTCTCTGTTGCTGGCCGGTTGACCGGCCGGAAAGATAAGTTGAGTAAGATAAAAATTTCACAACGAAATGAAGTACAAACATAATGAAAAGAGAAAATACCTACTTTGACAACACCTTAAGAAAACAGCGATTGTAAATAAGTTTATGAAAAATATGTCTAGAACAGAAGAGTGCGGTAAGCGCGATTATTAGGAAAACCGACTGATAAAAGTATTGATGCTTAAGTCGTGTTCATTACTGCGAAGATCACTCTCATTAATTTATTAATCCGCAGTACAGATATATGATATTCGTATATTCACAATCTTTCGGAAGTGATTATGGCAAAACGAATTGGGTTCAAATACAAGAGGACTTCGTTATTAAGTGCGGAAATGTAGGTGTAACTGACAAAAACGATAACAACCTGAACTGAAAACCCTAACAAGGAGATGTGAGGAAAGAAAAGAAAGAATTAATAAATGGAAAATTCCAAAAGCTAGTCAGAGAGAGCGTGGGTGTTTCATTCAAAAGGTACATCTTGCCTTGGTTTGGTTCTTATGTTGCGTCGTTTGGGCACGGTGCTTTCCATGGCCAACACCGAATGAAAGTCTATCAAAAAAAAGTTGGTGCAAATTCTCTGTATAGCTGAATGAAACTGACTGACTCACAGTACAAACTGTTTGAATTAGGACACTTTTTACTTCGTGTGTATTACTAAAACAAGTCAAAAGACGCTATGGAAAAAAAGAAAATCCGAGGTTTTTAAATTCGTTTTAAGTAATGTACAATTTGATATGATTTGTGCCTAAAATAGAGAGACTTGAATACAGTCCTAGGAGCCCCAGTAAGATGTCGCGACTTCTTTTGGTTTCAGTATGTCAGTAAACCAATATATATTGTATGTATAATTTTCAAACGGCAAATAAAAAGTAATTCCTTTATAGGTTTTTCTCGCTCTTCTGCAAAGAATTAGAACCTATTTTTCTCAGAATACTCGAGTAACCCCCCTCTGACATAACCATAAAGAGAATCACTTTTCACGGAAACAGAGAAACATATAACCGCTCTTTTTTGAATAATTTTTAAGTGCGAGCGAGTTTCCAGTAATTCCCAGTTTCTGTAGATTTATAACGTAAACACCCATCTCTTCTTTAACAAGTTAAACAATTGAAAGATGTGTTCAAATCTTACATATAGATGCAAATAAGCTTATACCACTTTTCAGAAAGCCGTCTCATTAACTCGAAATATTCTTTCAAATAAATACTCAACTAAAAAAAATTTCACACCTCACTTTTAACAGTTCTATGAAAAAAGGCTGGTGGTTTTCTCGAAGGGAAAAAATTGAGAATTTATTTACATGCAATTTCAAAGGTTCACAACTTTGTCTCATTATAGACGAAGTCCCACTGTCATTTTGTTCATAAAATTGCATCTAAAAATGAACTGATATTTACAATTTAGGTACAATTAAATAAAAAAATTCCCCCTTAACTTCTTACTCTCCTATGGAAAAAGGCTGGTGGTTTGCTCGAAGAAAAAAATTGAAAGTTTTCGTACATTCAATTTTGAAGGTTCACAACATTTCTCATTACAGACGGAGTCCTACAGTCCTTATGTTCATAGCATCGCGCATGAAATTGAACACATATTTACAATTCAATCACAACATAAAATTATATATGAAACCATTTTAAAACATCATTGATTTTAGAAAAAATCTGTTCAATTTTCCCAAAGAGAAAAATTTCAAGTTTTCCACTACTCAATTTCAGGTAAGAGATACTTGAGGTTCAGCTCCGAGCAACTTAAACGCTCGTATTGAACAAACGTGTCTTAAACAAACATTTTTAATATAAATTAACATTTACTGTCAATAGTTACCACTCCAAAGAAGGACCTTACTTGTAACCAGCGAGCCCAATTTTATTTTTTCAGCCATGGCTCTAATGGCGAACGGCACGAAGACGTACAGAGAGGTTTGGATCACGAAGCTTGCGCTATGTTATGATTAAAGATTAATCATATCTTTTATTTACCTTTGAAAACCAAAATATGAATATCGCAGACGTCATGGGTTCAAATCCCGTACCGACCTGAATTTTTTTTTCAGGCCTTATTTTCACTACCGCTCAAGTAGTGCTTATTACAACGAAGTCATGTCTTTAGCCGCAGTTCACATACATGATTTTCATATATTCACAGTCAGTCAATACCAAAATGATTTTATCTTTGATTTAATTCCATGTTTTGCATCGAACTAATCACTTGTTCATATCAGCAACTGTTTTCCTTTGTTCAGTTAAATTAAAGCTATTTAAATCGAGTTGTACTGTGAATGTTGTTTGCAGTAACACAGGAACACACTTGATGTAAAGATGATGCGAGAAATTTATAATTTTCACTAAACTACACGAAGCAACTGTTAACATACTCATGTTGATCTGGGATAAATGGACAACTTTTTTCCAGTAAAACTTAAATTTTGTCACCGTAACGGCCAGTAATAAGCCAAAATTTGACTAAGCGTTTCTCGTTAACTTTGAAGATTTAGGAAACGTGTCTGAAATGGTAGCAGAAACATCGGAAGCGTCTAAAGATCAACAAAACGAAAGTGCTACCAATGAAAACAACCTCTTCGAAAATTTATCCGAGCTTGATTTAGAAAGATACTTGAGGCTAAACAATCAAACAAGACCAAGAAAAACGCTCACGGGTGTGTTTCTACGTCCAAGGGCGAGTTTTAAATTTAAATTGATATCTTTTTCTTGCATGGTTAAAAATAAACATATGAAATGTTGCAACCTGACATGATAAACAATCAACAGAAACAATAGGATTTTGCAATCCAATTTTGTCTTAACTGACATGATAAACAATCAACAGAAACAATAGGATTTTGCAATCCAATTTTG